AGTTACGTCTCTCTCCAAATCTAGTTGCTTCTCCAACCATTTACTTAGTTGCTTTGCGTATACGCAACAGCTTTAGCTCCATCCTATAAAGGAAATGATTGAATTATCAGTTTATGATTATATTAAGGTTTTTACTCCAAATTAACTTTAAATATTGTGAAAAAACAACTATTGTACAGAAAGTTATACTCACTAGATCACCTTACATTTCTACTAAACACTGGCAAGAAAGGACCATTGTATTTTTACACAATATTTGAACAGGCGAGTTTAGCGCAATGATTAGAGATGAACCGCAACACACAAATAGTGGTTGGTTTGATCGCGCATCGCTGTGCTTATCAAGCTTTGCTTCCGTCCAGGGTCTGCACATCGATACCGGACTTGTCCGGGAGAATAAAAATACTGACTTAATACATCGATATACCACCGTATGGCGCTACAAAGGATAAATGTGCATTTGACTACCTCTAACGATGTTAGATAATATCGAATCAGTGGCAAATAACGCAGAAATTGTTCAATGTCGAAAGCATTCTCGCTCTATCTTTTTCAACTGAACAAGAAAGTGGAGACGAAATGCAACACGAGAAGAGGGATAATGCACTACTTCAAAACGAATTCTGCATTACGTAGTCGAAAACACCGACTAGAGTGATTCGTTCCATTTCGCAGGCTTTTCTTTCGAAACACTTTAAATCAGAGCTTAATCACCCAGCCCCTCTTATCAAGTGAGTGATTGATCGTAGTTCAAATAAAGGTATGTAGAAATCATTAGAATTGAAGAGTTTGATAAGGAACAAAGTTAGCAATAATAGTGAACGACCAAGAACACATAATGCAAGTGATGTTTCCCACTTTTGCAAAGGATTTCGTCATCAATAAACCGGCTGCGAAGTGTTGCCTGGAGAGCTTTCTTTAATGGGATTACTTTGAACGAATCCTTGCGATGAACACTGCTCAGAACGGAGTAGCCCATTTATCTTAGGTTCACAAAAAAATAAAAATCTGCCCAAATCAAGAAAACTTAACGCCAAATTTCGAAACAAGTAATAAAATGGGAAGAAGAGATGTAATATTAATTCATAAAAAACACAGCAATAGATTGCTGTACACTAAAGATAGAATGTTTAGAAATAATTGGTGCGAACGGCTTCTTGCTCTGAGTAGAATGTGAGTTATGAATTAGTGAAGCCGTTGACAGATGTCCATCATACCTATCGATCGAGGTGGGTGCCAAGTAGAAGCAATGGCCTTCTCGGATAAAGAGAAGTACTTTCATCTTGTTTCCACTTTGATAATCTCATGTGCTTTTCACTTTAGTGCTTCTTGGTCGATTGAAAGTGTAGTGTGAATTGCTAGTAAACATGAACAGACTCCGTGTGTCTAGATATCCTAGGGTTATCGTTTAAAAAAGTACAGACCTTCATATTTCTTCGGCAAATGATGAGTACCTTTCCAAAACCTGACTTAGGATTCTTCTTTATACCTTCAGCCCTAGTTATACTGGATTCACAAAAAAAAACGAGTAGGCTTCCACATTTCTTGGAGCAAATAGCGAACGGTATGGATAAGACGCTGAGATTAAAACGAAGTTGTGCCTGAGTGGTCTAAAGGCATTTATTGGGTTATAAGGTATACACTGTCTTGCTCGGAATGGGAAGCCTATTACTATTTTAATTAACGTACGCTTAAGCGTTCTCCATAAATTTCATGAGTTGTTGAAAAAAGATGATCCCATTGATGCTCTTTGGATATACCGCTACATTAGTGTTTTATTGCTAAGCTTCTCTAACTAGACAATGTGAATTTCCTGAGAGTAATGGCTTCGTGATGACAGTGCGCACAAAGAATTCGAATATCCTGTAGTCAAGGACTGAACCAGGGATTCTGTGTAAGCAGAAATAGCGCCTTGTGGCATTACACTAATTCATTTACTTGCTTTGGCGTAAATTCAGAAATCTCACCTTCCTTAATTCTTTGCCTTCCTTGTCCTCATTTTTGAACTATACCCAGGCCTTCTGAATTTTCTTTTTCCGTTCTGCTTATCATTACTTATCAAAATATGGAAATGTACATATATTTAACAGTATAAATGTACCAAACGATTTTAATTCGTGGAACAAAATACTTGCCGTTTTTTCTTTTCTATCTTACTTAGAAGCATGGATTTTCTAGCACAGTTGTGATGTAGCGTATTTAGTACGGCAGTTTTTTGAGAGAATACTCTTAAGATCAATTGAAAAACGGTATTTCTCCTAACTTTTAGAGAAACACCTCGTAAGAACATCTCCTTAAACTCTTTCAATGATTTCAAAAAGGTTAAATACCAGTAGGCCCATTTCATGTACTGTATTTATTCCCTTACTTAGTTGATGTTGTGTTTATGCGATGATATGAAGGGAAAAAGCGGGCGACTAGTGCCCAAGGCTGGTTTTTAGCTAACTGCTGGTAATTTTTCGTTAACTAGAATACTTAAGAAGCTGGAAAAGTGCTCGCTTACTGCTTTCTGGCCTTTGAATTTGTTTAGAATTGATTTTTTTATTTTTCTTATTCTCATTATTTTATTTTACTATTTATTTTCAGAGAAAAGAAAGAGGAAATTGAAATGTTTAAAATTCCAAACAAAATTCCACCAGCCACAGAGATTAACAGCAAAGTTGGGAACAATGCTGCATTCTAATTGACGAATTACCGGTCGTTGAATCGAATTAATTCTTGAAATTCAAGGCTCAACAAAAAAAGTGAAAAAAACGCTAAACAAGAGAAAAGCACAAGAAAATCATAAATTTATCATGATACGAAAAGAGGAGTTCCATCCTATAGAGTTAAACTTCTAATCACCCCAGTGGCACGTCAGAGCGGAGCAATATAAAAAGCACTATGTAAGGCATTATCCTGATTAACGAAGTAAACTCAATTGTCGCCCAGCTGACTCTCGAATGACTCGAGCGGGTGCCAGTAAATCTTCCATTTTTCCGTTGCGTGTAAGAGTAACCCTGTGGGTTCTGCTCGCTCTAGAGACTCATGGAGCATCATGCCTTTCTTGTAGGGTTTTCGTTAAGCACTCTGTCCACCAGGTTGGTGGTTTGTCTCTCAGGACGAAGGATACGAAAGACCCGCATGGTGTGGTGGTGAACGCATTACTCCCCGGAAAGGACAACAGCGCGTTCGTTAGCCACCACAGACACCTGCGGTCCGGAGCTTTGCAAATATCTCGGCAATCTTGTGATTGTATTTCGATTATTACCTTGCCATAAAAATGATAGAAGGCAGAAAATAGAAGATAAAACATTATCTCTGCAATCTCGTGAAGATGGGATCGTCTAAAGTTCCCGCCATGATATGGAATTATTAGAGGAAATATATTTATTTATGTGATCTTATAAACTGATCTTTTTAAGCTGACGCGAGGTTGGTACAGATCTTCGTTGTCGTTGCCGTTGTCGTTGTTTTTGATGTTATTGAACAATGGCTGACGTTTCGGCGACTTCGCCTTCCTCAGAGCCGTGATGTTACGTGCGGAACGACAACGAAGATCTGTACCAACCTCGCGTCAGCTTAAAAAGATCAATTTATAAGATCACAAAAAAATTTATATCAGCTATCGATGCCGAGGTTCATAAAAAATCGGTCTTTCGAGTTATTAGAGGAAACGTTCTACACCAACGTTTCCCGTTCACAATCCCCGTCCGGAACCCTAATATTCCCGATGGAGAAAAACCTCCTGGAATTCTTCCGTCGGAGGTTCGAGTTGCGATAGAAAGCGTGAAAAGAGGCACAGCTCCAGAACCCGATAATATCACTGCCGGTTTCCTCAGAGCTTGAGGCCACAATTTACATGTACTTCTCGCAGATCACATGACAGGTTACCTTCAAAAGGAAAAAAAATTGCAGACCAGTGAAGGACGTCGCGCACGGTCATCCTGCCCAAGAAAGGAGACCGAAGGGATTTTCGTAACTGTCGCCCCACATGCCTGTTGAGTGTACTCTACAAGCTCCTCACGAAGATTATCCTCTCGCGCTTATTAAGGACACTGGATGAGGCGCAACCAATCGAGCAAGCGCGATTTCGAGAAGGATTTTGCTGCATGGACCACATCCAAACCGTGTCCAGGGTCATCGAAATTTGTCGGGAATACCACTTGCCTCTAGTCCTAACCTTTGTCGACTATGAGAAAGCGTTTGACAGTGTCGAAACGAATGCAATCCTATCAGCACTCGTTGACCAAGGAGTGGAACCGTCTTACATAAGAACTCTGTCCGACTGTTATCGGAACTGCACTACGAAAATGCAGCTTTTCACGCTTGTCACGTTTTCGAGATCCAGGAGAATATACATCGATAGCAAAACATAGATGGGCCGGTCACATAATCAGAAGAACCGAAGACAGATGGACGAAAAGAACAGTGAAGTAGACTCCAAGAAAATGCAAACGTCCCATAGGACGACTACCTACGTTGGGCTTACGTGTTCGTAAACAAGGTTAACCAGCTGTACCCACCACTGCAGTTATTTTGAAGATCACGGTATGAGACTCGTAACTGCTACCATGCCCGAGCAAGACCATCACCATCGACTACGATTGCGAGTGAAAGGAACGAATGGCATATGTGCTGGGGTCTGCACAGCTCTTGAAGACGGACCGTCCAAGGATCCAAGTAGGTAAGAAAACTTTTCCATACTTGCTTTACTCAGCGCTGTAGTAGCGGGTTCTCTTTTGAGGTCAGGGCAATGAGACTCACTTATTTTACCGTGCTTAGTGTGTGATACTCGCGTATAGCTTGCTGAGTTCAGAACGTAAGGAGTGGTACACTCGCGGATAACCTGTCAATTTCTCCCAGAGTACAAGGGGAGTTTATTTAGAGTTGGAAGGGACACCCAACTGCCTCCCATATACTTTTCTATTACTTGGTTGCAGGAATTTGGCCGAATTAACTCGTAGAATACAATCTGCATAAACGAGAACACAACCACGCACACATGCACGAATGTTTCCTCAGAAACACAAAGATATGCCAAATCGACGCAGAAGAAAGTTGTGTACGTCTCCTGAATCGACTTGCGTCTCAACCAAGCGTAAGGTCTCTTTTGGTCCTCGATTATCCCGATTATTTCCCTGTCCGCCACCTGGGGCACCCCTCCTTGCCTCGTGACTAGTCGGGATGAGATCCCTCAATGTGAGACCCATGGAGCGAAATAATATGACCAAAAAATGAATGACGCATCAACTGAAAACGAAATGGATACAGATCCTTAGCGAAAATACCTTACCAAAGTTACAGCAGTTACAAACAAAGGACCAATAAATGGGATGAAAAAACTCACCAAGTAGAAATTCGCATCATGTACGTAACCGCAATCGTTTCTTTCCAGCTCTACGACGATGACCTTCTACGGCCTCTGATCCCTTGAGGAATAAACGATGCGGAAAGCAAGTCTCATGAAACCAACAGCTTTCATAAAATTCACAACTTCACTGCATCGACTACAATATATGGTTGAAATTTATGAATAATACGAAAAAATCCTCAGATTTTGCTGGTTATATTCTCATAAGATCGAAATTCGTAGCTACTCCATTGAGCTTTGTATTTAATACACAACTCTCAATAACAAACAAAAGAACAAATGCAGTATATCACTGGCATAGTACGCACTATATATAGAGGATAAAGGATAAATCTCTGAGTGTGGATCCAGTTCCTGAGTGATACGCTATACCATCGATCTCATTAAGAATCGTTAGAGCTAACTGAATGCATATCTGGCCTATGCAACGACTTTTGTGGTTTACCGATGTGTCAAATCAGTGTTACTATTCTTCCATACAAGGGTGGTACCGATTTGCCGACACTGGTGAGATCAATCAAAGGCTTGGTGGCGTGTTTATTGCGGGAAACCTCTAACCACTGCGCTACACGAGCATTACGGACATTACGGAAGTTATAATTCATAACCGATAGTGAAACGGAAGCGTTTCATGGAAATCCAGCGAGCAGCATTAACTTGATTAATTGGGGGCTCGTGTAACGAAGTAGTTAACGATGGCTTAAATTCTACACATAGTTGTAGTATGACGGTTTAACCAAGCCCTCTATCTCTCTCGGAGCCAGCTAGTTACCTGGAAGCACACGTTCTCTGTCCACTAATTCTGATATGTTCTGGTTGTTTGTTTACTCCAAATTGATCAGACGTTAACAATATTTGTTCGGGTTAGTGCTGCGGTTTTCTAGAAGAGTATCATATCACATCATATAGAATTACGTTCGAAAAGCACCAAATGCTCTATATATCGTCTTTGGATGAAAGCAGACTTCTGCTGTGACTAATGTGTTTTATCGCATTTAAAAATAAGACTTCTGTTGCTTGATATTACGTTAAAGGGCTTGATATAACATCAATACACACAATCTTATTACAATTTATTACAAACGATCTTTTTTAATCTCATTTGAACATAATGGACATATTTTATTAAGCATCGGAAGGGAACCTCAATCGGAACACCACTCTATCAAATGTTTTTTTGATACAATTTTCTCAGGGATCGGGTAACAGTGGAAGTGATGCGGGTCATTAAGCGCAAGATCCAACGTACACCGCGGGTCGATCAAGCCTACTCCACGTAGGTACGCCTCAGCACAACAATCTCAGGATTCCAGGGCGAACTGACTCCACCGGCGGTCAATGACGTTCATGAAGAAGAAGACAATTCGCAAGAAGCGGAGCCATATGCAAGAAGATTCGAAGGCCTTCGCGCACGGTGGATCCCAAGGAACGGATCGGATGCAAGAAGTACTCGGATGCGCACAGTGTGATAGTGTGATGTGAGGTCATGCAGCAATAAAATAAGTAACATCACGCATCCTCGCGCTCACTGGCCAATCTAGATATCGTAACTGTTTTCGGATGATGCCCAGATATGTGCTAAATTCCGGACGGCAGGTGTTTACCATGGAGATCGAACATTACTCTTTCTGCCGGTGTGTCGCCTGGAGTTTTGCAAATACCTCAGCATCGTTGTGGTTGATTTCTCATAATACTCTGCCGTGAAAACTGTAATAGGCGGGAAATAAAAAGTCTACATTGTGATATCCTTAGATGGTTGAATGATTAATAAAAAGTGTCCTTGCAATATTTCCAGTGATACTGTGTCGCATGCTCTCAACAATAGCAAGGATTTCTTCGCTGACGATCTCGGACGGCTATCTTGAGTTCGGTGTTTTCTTTATAAGCAAATACGGGCTTGTTAATAACAAATTTTATTCAATAATTGCTTCCTTCTCCGTGGTTTTGCCTTCTTCAGTGTCTGAAAGAACCAAATTAACACACGATCTACTCAACAAAACACTTTCATAATCGAAACAGAAGAAACTCAATACGTATATGAGAGAATGGCGAAACGAAGGACCCGCATGGTGTGGTGATGAAACCCCGGAAAGGTTGATAGCGCGTTCGTTCCCCACCATAGACACCTGTGATCCAAAGTTTTGCAAATATCTCAGCAACGTTGCGGTTGTATTTCAATACGTAGATTTGATTCGCATAATAAACAACCTCCTACGAACAGTGCCCTTTCTTGTTCTTCACTAGCCTTCAAGCTGTTTGGTGGACATCAGCGACAGGGAGTCTTACATGGCGAGGAATCCGCCTGCCTCATGTACAAAAAATTTTCGTATTATGGGAAAAAAAACTTGTGTTAAGTTTTGTATGCTGAGGTTATGAAAGTGCTTGGCAGAGTAGACAGCATGTCAATCTAACCTCCCCAGGTTCTCAAGAAGGCGAAATCCATCGGAACGTCAGCTGTTGTGAATAATTCATGTGATAAAAACCTGTCTGCTCATCATGAAACTAGTGAACTATCGATCAATGCCGATTAGCAGAAGGTGGGTCCTAGGATCACCTAGAACCTCTCTCTTCATCGAAATCAAAAATTTATTCTCGAAATCTTGACATCCACATGAAATCGCAAATCGCACCTTCTCTTATCCTTGAAGTGCTTAAATTTTTTCGAGTCTATAATGCGCTGCTAGTGTCCGCAAATGTCTCAGCACCATTGTGGTTGTAATTCAAGTAACATCCTGTCGTGAAAAATAACAGACAGTAAATAAAAAGTTAGGCATTATGATTTCGACAACGACCTCAGCTTAACTTCGTTCAATACCGACTTGTAGTCTTCAAATCATTCCGGTTGGTGGATAATCGCTGATGGCACCCTTAGGGCGATAAGAACTGCCTGAAAAGAAGGTAAAGCAAGATCCTCGGTTATAGTGACGGATGGCGGGTGCGCCCATTTTAGTTCTAGAGTTCGAATCTAGCCTAGGATCTAAGTTTTGCAAAAATCTCAGCATCATGGTGCTGCTTGTAATTCAGATAATACCCTACAGTGAAAAATAAAAGGCAATAAATAAAAGGTTAAGCAATATCTAGATCTATCCAGAGCTTGTAAAACAACGGCCACTCCACACCATTGAAAGCATAGAAAGGAAAGTAGGAAGGTTTTTCACAGGATGTTACCAGTCCTTATTGTTATGTTCTTAATAACTTTTACAACTCAAATTCGCAACGGTTTCCCGCCTCATCATGGCTGGGAGGTGTTCCTGGATGTCGGGCTGCGATGTGCATTCATTACGCAGTCTCCCAAGCTGAGAAGGAGTCCGACCTTTCCACCAGTAACACCAGCTAGCAGTAAACCAATGCCAAGATCCGTCACCGTCCTGGTATCAAACTAGTCGCATGGTGACAAATCTCCCTCTGATCCACAATGACGCGACTGCCTGTGGTGGTGACGACCTGTGGCAGACTTTGTACTGGCTGATCTCGGGACACCAAGAACCACAATGGATAAACTAGCTAAACTCCGAGAAAATGGAGATTGTGCTGGGGTCCGCACAACCAGTTAGAATGGGCCATCAAAGTATATCAAAGTATGTAAAGTAATTCTTAGTGAAACAAGCCAAAAAGTGGGAGGTAGAACATGATAAAGCATAACTGCAATGTCAGACTCGAAGGAGTTCCAAACTTCACTTCGAATCATACGCATTTTGTTGACAGCACACGAGGAACAACCGCAGGTAGGACTTCTGCTGAGTATCTACTAAACCATTACCAGACAAAGTTCTATCAATCAATCAACAAAGAAAGCAGGAAAACATTAAACTAGATTCCAATATGAGATGGTTAGAATGAAAACAAAACGGAAGAAAATGGGATATCGACCTCTCAAAACATTACAAAGAAGAAATTGAGGAGTAACACACAACAGCTAGTGTGCTTTAAGAAGTCCACAACAAAAAAGAAAAGATGAAAGACTAGAAAGTGAACATAGTCCATAAACCACTGTAATACCAGTATACATAAGAGTTAGAAAACTGAAGAAAACCAACAACAACCCAGTCGAGATGTACTATGCCAATCATAACCTAGAAATCTTGAAGAAACCGAAGCAATTTCCGAAGTTGAGTGATGGTAATACAAGTTCATTAAGACATCACTGGACTTTTGGAGATCACGTCCTGGAAAAATAATAACCTTATGACTTATTTTCATTGATCAAATTCGGTTTAGCGCAAACCTATCTATCTTCGACAGTACGAAATCTGCGACTAGTGGTATATGATCACTGGGAACGTAACGATTGGGCCATGGACCACATGTTTTTCTCAGGATCGTAAAATCAGGAAGACTCAATCGCCGCAATAAACGAAGCTCAGGAACTTCATATATATGTGTTCTCTGAAACGATGAAACAGCCTATTCCAATAATGACGATTTAGAAGGAAAAAAAACCATGGGAACATGTAAACCTACAGAATCAGCAGTCACTTTCTTCTCAATTGAATAGAATAAAAAGTCAGGATTCGCCATGTCCTTGTGATAAGTGGATATCTCCTTCTGAGAACATTTTTAAAAAACATTGCACAGAACTGAATGAAAAAGAACTCTACAAACTAATTATGAGTCTACCACAAACTATGAAGTGAAGAAGTTTTGGACAAACGACAACACTTTCTACGGTGTTCATCAACACATTAAAATTCCCTATCGCACTCTTGTTTCATGGGTAAATTGACAAAGAAGCAGGTGCAAATGTACGCTATACCAATGTCAATGAACTCTTTGATTTGCTCTTCGTAGACTTGATGACATCCCCGAAGTCTTAGCTGGTCTAAATATGACACCACAGACTATGTGGGTAAGGAAATCCGACTTCACTGCACCATACATTTAAATAGCAAAAAGGAATAAAAAAAAAGAACGAAATAAAGAAATAGAAATGTGAAAAAAATCAAACCTCTCCATTCACGCTGAAATGATGATATACAGAAGTTAGCCGCAAAGGATGAGTGAAATAGTCAGCAACGACGGCTTGGCGATGTACTGTTAATAATGATGTGACTTGGAAAACGTGAACGTAATGGACACTTAAATTATTAAAGGCATACCTTCCTTATTAATAAACATGCTATCTCGACCAATGTTTGCCACTGGTGGTAAAATATTGTCTGCTACTACGTAAGGTCCTCCATATCGTCCTTGACCGGATAACTCGTTGCGTCGCAAGCCTCGTAGATATACACTAAACCAACTAAGCAGTTACCACACCTTCAGGACTCATGGTAGTTTTTTTAGAAATCATCTAAAAAAGGAAAAAAGGCACCATTCCGGCGAACAAACAGAACCTGAATGAAGAAACTTTCGTGGAAACTCACCTAGATTCGCTAATATAAGTGTAAACATATGAAAGTGGCTCAATATTCAAGTCGCCACATAGTACAACGGGGCAACGCGATTTCGTCAACTCCTTGAAAAAAAATGTCTAACATGCAAGAGATTCGACAGACAGTGAATTTAATGCACTAATGAGAATCTTAAATCTTTTTCGGCAACTAAACGAAATTTCCTACGCAAATCTAAGGGAAAAAAAAACCAAAAAGATGAGGCTGAAATATTTGCAAAACTCCGGACAGCAGGTGCCTCCGGTAAGGAACGAACGCACTATTACCCTTTCCAAGGGTTAACGCGTTCACCACCACACCATGCAGGTCCTTCGCTTCGCCTGTCTCTCAGCTTTAACCGAACAGACTTCAACAGGATTCACTAATAACACATCGATTACAATGAGGAACTCACATCTTCAATGTTTGCTATAAGCATTGCAAGCTGTCCGAGTTTGATATCACCTCGCGCTGAATTAAATAGCAAATGTGTGTTGGCGAAAATAAACTCTTGATCAGTCTCCCTGCACCTTATCCGCAATATCTGCCCTAGAATTTCCATTGCCAAAAATTCCCAGACATATGAAAAGCAGAATTATGTTGCAAATATTCAAGGTAAAAATCAAACCAATTTGATCTCTATTCATAGATGTAGCAGACCCTATGAAATACTCTACAGTACGATAACTGACAACTTCCAACTTCGAGTTTCTCACAAACACTGCACATCCTTCGCCCGTCATGTCTGTTTGCGGTTTGTAGTATGTGGCATAACCCGCTAAAAAAGTATCAAACATCTCGTATCACGACCCAGATATACACATAATATAGCTGAATGCCGTCATTATCCTTTAAAAAGAGGAAATACAAGACATGCAAAAAGTTCAAGCTACTGGAAATCTCAAACTCCTCCCTCCTCCAAGATCAATGAAACAGTGAAATTCAGTTTGACTGACGCAATCTTAGCTAGTTCTAACACGCACGAAGGAGAACTCTGATTTTTCAAAGGAAGGAGTAAAATGAGTTGACTGAGCCCGAATGACATGGATTAAAATAGATGTAGCGAATACATTAGCAAATGCATACATGCAAACAGCACTTCACCGTATGCTATGCACCCTCGATCATATAAACATAAACAAAACACAACGAATTGCTATCTCATGAGTAGTAAAATCCATAGAAACCTTTAGACATTGAAGGCTTGAAATGCGAATAAAAGTGATCACATTGGACCTCTTGCAGTCCAAAAACATCTGCATTCAAACGTAGCAACTCTTTTTCTAGTACTGGCCAACGGTTTTCCCATCTAATAGGGGAGTCATCTGCCCTGAAAATATCATATAAAAGTACTCAAAAAAGCCAAAATGGCCAGTATACATATATATCGATGGATTTCCCTCATAAGGCGATCTCATGCTAGTTAGCCGTGAAGCGACGTGGCGCGTCCATGTGTAGCGTATACGGGTTTAATCCGTAGACTATAAGTGACCTTACGATAGACGTATGGGTCAGTCCCACACGTAACATCACGGTGAGTAGCCTTTCTGTTCAATACGGCGTCTATTTGAAAGTTTGATCTTCATTAATACTTTACCCTTTTTTTCCACCGAATAATAAAAATAGTCTAATATACGTCCAGGCTCTGAGGAAGGCGAAGTCGTCGAAACGTCAGCCATCGACCAACAACGACAACGAAGACCTGTACCAACCTCGCGTCGCTTAAGAAGATCAGTTTACAAGATCATATAAATAAATATATCAACTATCTATGCTGAGGTTTATAGAAAGTCGGTTTTTCGAGTTACTAATAACCTTATGACAGTCTGAAATACATGCTGATCCACGAGATGGACACTCTCGTTTAATCCGCGCCGTTTTGGCACATCTCTTCTGGGTTTGCGAGGTCGTATTCAACCGTGCGTTGCGTCGGTGTATGTCCATTTAACGTATTGTCGGCCAAAAGCCTACAATCAGCTGATGGGGAAGTATATGGGAGGCAATTAGAATTCACTCCCAACAATTCTTCGTTTTATAGTTGAGCAAACGCTAAGTGTTACAATTCTTTATTCACGAGTAAGCTGACGCTTCGGCGGATTTCGCCTTCCTCAGAGCCTGAAAAGGTCAAGTTGACAGCAATCTATTCGGCCAGACAAACAAAGAAAGAAAACCAAGATTTCAATCACATTTAACACAGCTCTGCACACTCACTGCTTTCTATGAGTCTTCCACTGAGTATGTCGTGTGAACACCAACCGCACAGAATTCACATGGAAGCATAATGTGCTCCTCCCATCAGAATAACAGGTTTATATACTGGCCAATATCACGCGTGATAATGAGGCATTCTTCACTGCGGTTCATTTTCGGATTTCTGGAGTTAATCCAGAATGCCTCGAGAGTTTTTCTCGCCTGTGTTCTCGATTCTTGTGCGAGGATGGTGACACGTTCTTCAAAGCCCTCCCGCTATGTCTCTCGGTCCTATGCGTGCCTAGCGGGGTATTTGGTTTATGCTTGCCGGTTAGGTGTTCTTTCATGGAGACACAGAGGGGTCTGCCCATTTCGCCAATGTATTCGTCTCCGCACGCCTTACAGGAGATCATATAAACTATACCCGAGCTCATGCAATCACCGTCTCCACCATTGGGGCAAATTATGCAATTTTGCGTTGCACATAGGCGGTCGTATAGACCAATACGAACTAGCTGGCGCATTACTCGGTGGCATTTCAACAACGTTTACCGAATTCTCTAGACTGGTCCTTCTTAAGCAGCGGTTTATAGCTGCACTTACATCATTTGAGATGAACGGTAGGATAAACGGAACGTTTCAATCGCTATAGTTGTCGTTTGGAGGCCTAGGATTTCCCCTGCACCTATCCCGAGCTACAGTTTCGTAGCCATTGGAAATGGCTATTTACCGCGCCATGTTCCGGGACTCCTCCATCTGCTCTCTTCCCGTTCACCCGTTGGTTGCTGCTCGAAACATGTTTCTTACAAGCGCCCCCTTCGTGTGAGAGTGGTGAGAGGAGAGGTAATGAACCAAGATGTTTTTACTACTTGGTTTTCGGTACCACTTTGTAACGTAGCCATTTTCTGACAGGTGAATTTGGACGTTCAGGAATGGAAGCCATTTTTCTTTCTGTTTCTCTCGGGTGAACTTGATATACTATGACTGTCCATTTAACAACTTGAAACATTTGTTCCTTTCCTCCTATGTTGAGCAAAGGACAAAACAGTCATCTATACATCTACAGTAGAGTAGCGGCCCGAGATCAGTCACCGGTGCTTTCACATCAGTCATAAACGCAATGGCAAGACTTGGAGCAAGTCGTTGCCCCATTGCTAACCCTCTCATTTGAGTGCAATACTTTCTGGACCATCTAAAGATTGAGCAGCTCAAACATTCTTTTAAGAGTGCCATCAAGTGCTCTATCTTGAACCCATTTATGTTCATTTCTCCATCGTGTTGTATAAGGAGTTCGAATATGGCTTGCATTGCAGAGTCATGAGTTTTTATAAGCAAATACAAGACGGAACATATTGGTAAGCGTGCGGAGACGAATACACTGGCGAAACGGGTAGACCCCTCTGTGTCCGCATAAAAGAACACCTAGCCGGCAAACGTCTATCAAATACCCCACTAAGCACGCACAGGACCCAGAGACATAACGGCGAGGACTTTGAAGTACGTGTCACCATCCTCGCACAAGAATCGAGAACACAAGGGCACAAAACTCTCGAGGCGTTCTGGATTAATTCCAGAAATCCGAAAATGAACCGCGGGAAAGAGGGCCTCATTATCGCGCGTGATATTGGGCAGTATATGACTGTTATTGTGATGGGAGGCGCACATTACGCTTCCATGTGAATTCTGTGCGGGTGGTCTTCACGAGACATAACTTAGTGGAAGCCTCATAGAAAGCGGTGAGTATGCAAAGCTGTGTTCAATGTGATTGAAATCTTGGTTTTCTTTCTTTGCTTGTTTGGTCGAATAGATTGCTGTCAACTTGACCTTTCCAGGCTCTGAGGAAGGTGGAATCCGCCGAAACGTCAGCTTATTCGTGAATAAGGAATAAAAGTAACACCTCGCGTTTGATCAACAAGAATACGAAGAATTACTTGATCAATGCCGAGGCTAATAGAAAGTCGGTCGTGGGAGTCACCTCCAACAAATGAACTCCCCGTCTACCACGGAAAAGACTGGAAAACTTCGAGCGAGGAGCACTGTTTCTCGGGTAATGCGACAATAAATAAAGGGGTCGGGAGCGTTGGTGTTATGGTCAACACGAGGCTGGATATAAACACCAACTCATTCGAACAACTAGCAACCTGAATCGGACAGTTACGGTTCAGATGTGGATCGATACCGGCTTTGATAATCTTCATCGCCTACGGACCGACATCAAGATCTGACGAAGACTAAGTCAAACCGTTCTATATCAACTTGGAGGAGTTCTACAGAGAGGACCATACATTCACATTCTTCAAGGTCATCATTTGAGATTTTAACGCTAAGACAGCAACAAGAAGAACGTTATTTTGGGACCCACGGATTTGAATGGAACAAGCAGTGTGAGCAGCTGTAACCATTCATGGTAACTGCCGGCTCCAGAAACCCCACCCTCAACGCTGGACGTAGGAGTCTCTCAATAGAGAGTACCAATAACAAAGTAGATCATATCACAGTAAACCGAAGGTTTTGCTTAACCGAAGTCGCAGTTGTCCTAAAATTCTACATGGGGTCAGACCACCACTTACTTCCTACTTCGTGGGAGATTTAGTTCGTCGAAGAAACGAGAAAAGGCTGCTAAATTCGAATAGGAGGTCCCTAAACCACCCTAAACCTGGATTTACTCAGTTATTTACTGGACTGTTGGAAAGATGCCGTTCTTAACCACACCACAGAGGAATACGATCGGATGATTCGACATCCTTTCTTTACATATACGAAAACTGACAGTTCGAAAATCACCAAGAGACTTCTGCCTCCGGACGGAAACACTCGAGTTGATATGTCACCGTGGAATCGCGCGAGCGATAGTCAACGGCTCCAAACTTGCAGAACGATGTAGACAGGCATGTGTATTCAAGCGTGTGCACGTATATATATGTACATGTACATATATATATATATATATATATATATATATATATATATAGTGTGTACACAGTGTGTGCATGCGTGAAGCACTGGACGTGGGCGTCCTGCAACACGAACATAGGATCGATCTCCACACCCCTGGCCCACTAAGGCTTCCATCCCTCCTAGGCCGCAAATTGGTACCAGAGTTGCCTGGGAGGATAGCAGCGCTGGCTCGATACATCGGTAAGCCACCGCGTTTCATTGTAAAGGCCAGATATGCATTCAATCACCTCCAAACAATGCTTAGTGAAGTCTAATGCATGGCGCACCCCTCAAGGATTGATCAACGCCGAGAGCTCCATCCTTTATCTATTTATAAATATGATATGTATATACAACCAAGCATGAAAATATGGAAACATTATAAAAAATAAGTAATCTAGATCCAGAAGTCACCATTGTTGTTACGCCGTCATGACCATCATCGGTATCACCCTACGACTAGAAAATGTTACAGATTCGGTGGGTTTATTTCTTAAAATTAGTACCTGGAAGCTCAGTTGCCGTTACACACGACGAAAGCTGTGTAGGCAAGTGCTATAATTTCCATCATAATGTTAATTGTGAACAGAGTTTATCTCGAAATCTTGCTACACTTAGGTCTTTTTATAAACCAGAACCAGTGGATCTTCACATTCCCGTCCCGTTCAATAATTCCTAACACTTATGTAGCGACGCTAAATTTCAAGTTGTTCTCAACACGAAATTGTTGTTTCTGGTTTTTAGAAAATATATAAAAATACAGTAACTAGAGAACTTAAGGCTGATAATAAGGTTGAATTTTAGGTAACACCTTGTTCTATAGCTCTAGGAGTATGCATAGTATGTATAACACTTAGTATATGTTGATACCGTCTACTATACAACAACATTTCCTTCAGTATTTGGAGGTGTTTTTCAGCTTGTTTCCAGTCTACCTCTTCATTTGTATGCCCGTCTACTCCATAGCACGTTTGATTCATTACTATTACTTGCTAAATAACGCCATATCACATGTGTACTGTGTGGATCCCAGCACTTCCCAGGTTCGATTCGCCTCTTCGTATCCTTACAATCCTTACATCCACGAAGGTTTTCAGAGTTTTCTCTGCGTGTGCGTTGTGTCTGCTGCAAGAGGATTTTCATCTTCGTGGAGAATATCGCCGAATCCTAATCATGTTGTTTTTATCTGGACTCCTATTGCTGAGCTGTGACCTTCCTGCATTGATTAGAGGGAATCTGCTTACCCCCGATAATTTTGATACCAATTTCCCATTCCTGGAGGCATAAGATGCTGTCCCGACACAGAACAGAGTTGAACCTGCGCCAAATGATGATTCACTATATGATAAGAAACGAAATAACAGTCTAAGTACCGGCAATGAATTCGTCGAAAAGGGTTCCTTTTCATAAACTGTCAACAGTAAGTAATTGCGTGGCACGACGATTCTTGAACAAGCTATCGATTTAGAAAAAAGTGTATGAAAAAGTTCTGTTGAGATACTACCACCATAAAAGCCGTACCGACACCTAAGCCCTACTACAAATGACTCCTATAGAGGTCACGCCTCGCTTAAACTTCGAAGAGACCGTGTAGCAGACCACTCTCACGTGGTCCACATTCAACAAATTAAACCACAAATTTTCATTCACATGTTTTCAACCTATTTCAACCATGTAGTAGCATGTACCTTGGAAAATGAGTCCCCATCGAAGCATAAGAAAGTGTAGATAGGAAACCAACAGCGATGCAACTAGAACTCCAGCCTACCTTAAGTGTGTGTAAAGAAACATTGTCCTTAATGCTTTCAACTGGCAAAGCACGTTGTAACTGCATATGCGTACCACCGTGTTTCTACTGGATGAAGGCGGTGCAACCTAGACAACATAAACAAGAAAATGAAGAAAGAAAGAAAACACAAAATACAGACATGTTTACGGAAAAGGTTAGAATGCACGGTGTTAATAAATCTCTGATAGAGATTCGCCATAGTGTTGACCACATTCGTAGCATCGTAGACATATTGGAGTGAATATTTGGACTACATAATGAGTTCAGGTAGCCAACTAATGTATCAATTCAGTGTCACTATCCTTCCAGATAAATTTGGTACCAAGTTCCCATACCCCAATGAAATGCGGGAATCTTTTTGCACAGGGACGAGATTCAACCAACGACAATGTGTGTGCTGCATGGTACCTCTAGCAACTGTGTCATACGCACCTCCAGTTTATCTCAGAGACTCAAACATATAACAGAGTAGTGATAGTGAAACAAAAAAAAGTGAAGCTTACAAGGAACTTCTCCCAAAATCGAGAACTTTCACCGTTGATTTTAGCTGCCGCTCTCGACAGTGCATCTTCCTCGGAAGGTTTGCGTTCGATGTCGCCACATGTCTATGAAATGTGTATTTAAAGGCACCAGCGCCCTAAATTTTCTTCAATGACAAAACAACTCCAAAGTAGGAACCTACTGACGAAACCCTCATCCAACAGCAAGCGCTTTACTTTATTAACAACAAAACAGTTAAGTGGTTAAGCAATTAACTATTAGCTAGACTAAGCATTCTTTTTTCGACAATTGGTGTTATGATCTCAGCGGAACAACATAGAATTGACCATTGACAATATTCTTCAATTCTAGGTCTCAAACTAATCGGAAACAAATAAAATGCGCCAACCAATATAGAGCGCTTTCCAAATTTTACACCCACATCGACTTGGAGCACACGGACTTTGACGTTTAAAAAAAACAGTACCGATAATCTGATTCCCATACTTCTTCTTGAACGAGTTGGACGTTTCCCGATCTGAAAATCAAATCTTAAGTTCATAACTTGGAAAGATCTGAGAAATACCAACGTGTCTATCCACGACTTCACATAAACACAATACTAAAGTGCACTCACAATACTTGGATACTTGGATACCCGTCCTCATTGGATGTGCGGGCTCCAGTATAATCTCCATTACAGAGTTTTGCTGGTTTCGACATTGTAGTTCCCTCGAGCCCCGAGGTCAGCTAGGTCAAAAAAGTCTGCCCCAGGTCGTCACCACCACAGGCAATCACTGCCCTTGTAGGTCACAGGAAGATTTTTCACCATGTGACTAGTTTGGACCTAGGTGTTGGGTCTGGTATCGGTGTACTCTTGGGCTTCCCAATGAAAAAGCCAGATTCCTTCTCAGCTTAGCAGACTATGCTGGAGAGATGAATCCGCCGCTGTGAATCGCAGCCCTACGCCCAGGAACACCTTCCAGCCGCGATGAGGCGGTAAACTGTTGAGAGGAAACACACACAACAGTAAATAGCGTTATCATATGGAGTTGTTATGAAATTGGTCGAGAGAAATACTCAGTAAAGAAGGACATGCATTTCTATTACTTTAGTCAAAAGTGTTTTACACTTTTAATTTTCGTCCTTTTTTATTTGGACTTGTAATCGGCGCTCTTGGATTTTGGTTGGCCATGACGAATCTTTATGTTCATTCGGCAATAACTTCCAGCTTAATGAAACTTGCCTATCGAAAACTATGGTGGTTGCAACGCATATGATGACTTGGGCTTGCATTAAAGAATGGGTTAAGCAGACAAAAAGAAACCAATCTCTGCCCTATTGGACACTGCCAGAGTCCGGCGGCAAATGCTAACATGTAGGTTTTATTGTACTTTCAAGAATATCAGCAGAGAAAGTTCATTAACAAAACTGGAAAGCATTTGCTATGTTTGCACGGATAGTCATCCAGCTCCTCACATACATTACTCAACCATCGATATTCTCAACAAAATTCTGCAGTCTCCCAAATGCCACCTCCGTCCATAAACCTTTGACAAACTGCTGAAAGGCGGAAACATTGAAAAGCTCTCCACCAATTAGTCAATCAATTTGTATGCAAAAGCCATTAACGGTTTCGTTTCCTGTTATTTCGATTAAGCGGCTGGCACGACACACACAGGTTTCGTTTTCTTTCCGGTGGTTCATTTCAACATATAAAATTATCCTCCTAAATTTCTTGTTATCAACTGATAGCTCGTAGAAAATAGATGTGGTGTCCGGCGTTATTCGGGAAGGCCCCTATTTGGCATTTGGAAATGTGCAAAAAACAGTTCTTCAAACAAGTTACCTAACCAGGAATTTGGGTGCTAATCGGCTACTATTTCAATTCTAGTTCCTATACCGAAAGATAGTTATAAAACACGTCGTCTTCTTTTCAAGCAATCACAAGGTTGTTATGCAGTCTACATTTACTTCCGTACAAAAGCAACAGAACAGTAGCTGACGTTTCGGCAGCATCTCTTCCTTTAGAGTCGCTTTTCTACGTGCCTTCTACTGAGGTAGAACAGCTAAATAGAGTCGCATACGTTTTTATTCCTCAGCGGAAGGCATAAATGGCTCTGAAGAAGGCCGAAACGCTAGCGACTGTTGTGCTGAATGTGTTTTCTGTACCGAAATAAAAGTGTGCTGTTTAACAACCTCGCGATTGCTGAAGAAGAAAACGTCGTATTTACAATACAATGCCGGGGTTAACAGAAAGTCGGTCCTGGGAACTGTTACAAGATGCACTAGTAAAATATTGGATATGAACTAAGAATGAAAAACACTGAAATAGAGACCCATAAGTTGCAAAATATTCCAAATGCTGACATTAATGCTTGTACGAAATACAGTAAATGGTATCATAAATATCATCCATACTCATAGAACGATAGAGCAAAGTGTTTCCTACAATCTATTCATACTTATAACTCACGAAGACCTTCAGTTATCGAAAAATTGTTGTTCAAGAAAAAAATCACCAAGCCCATAAAAATCGAAAATTAGATGTCGTCGCCGCAGTGCTAACACATAACGCCCGAGATTCACTGTATGCTCTGCATGTTTAGGAAGACTAAGTAGACGGAGTGCACTACATTCAGTTCATTTCCTTTTCAATGGTTAATTTTTCTACATGAAACCTTATTCTGAATAGGTTCATTGATTGGCAGTTTGAATGCTGACTGTTATTTCATTTTCACTCATTATGAAGAATTATGGTTAACTTGTGAAATGAACGGGTACAAAAGGCATAAAAATTGACCCAACATATGCTGCGAAGTACTTCAAAATGCTGGAAGAAACACGGATAGATGGCGGACCACAGTAACATATAGTTACTACCATCGTACACACCATGTAAAGCCTTACAGAGCTATTGAGTAAAGTTCTTCAGTTTACAGCTATATTCTGAAGTTATATTACCAACTCCTCAAGACCTTCAGTTATTCAAAAATTATCGTGCACTGTCGAAACGCCAGCAGGTCGGTAACAACATGAAATGATGTCGTCCAGCGTGGCACTCATAGAAAACTAGATGTCGGGTTTTATGCACAGAAGAACCTCCTGAATGTTTGGTACTTCAAAACAATTGTGATTAATGCGGACTATCTTTTTAAATAGGTGGGCTCCGTGGTAAAATTCCCTTTCTAAAAATAAATTAAAAATCCTAAGTCTTCAACCACCTTATTTACTATTTTAACCATTACTTGTCCGGACGTCAGATGTATCGCATTGTGCGGTATTTCTTGCATTCGGCTCGATTCCTCGCAGTTACCTCTCGCATCTACGATGGTCTTCCAACTTTGCTACTTGTGGCTTAGTTTTCTGCTTGAGAAATTTCTCGTCATCATCTCGAATGTGGTTGAATGCTGGACATGTCGCTGGTCCATGGGAACAGAGAGTGCCGTGCTAGAGCACTTCCACACAGATCAGAGGAAGTCAGCTTGTCTCAGACAATTCTGGTACCAATCTCCCGAGCCCGCAGGGATAAGAGGCTTAGTTCCTCTATGGCAGAGTCGAAGCAGCGTTTGGTGGCTCGGGCCGTCCACGTAACAAACAGGATCACTACAATTGCGCCAACCTTCCACTTAATATTAATAGTAATTGATCAAGAGAGCCCATTAATGTCACGTAACGCCATTTTTAAAGGTATGAAACAGGTCAGCTCTTGTAAGCACTTCGTGCAAAACCAAGTGCTAAAATATGCAGCGCGAAAGAAATAAATTTAACTTCCGTAAAGGACTTCATAAAGCCTAAATCCGAAGCCTTTCAGCGATAGCGATTCAGTTACATGTAATGTGATGTAATTTGGCATAGGAAAAGTATCTGTTAAGAAACACTTCCTTGCACAAATGATGCTGATAAACGCGGACTGCTGTGAACTTAGTATTAAGCTATTATGATATCACTTATTTTATCTCTTTAAACAAGTAATACTGATAAGTAATAAATGACCAAGTAGAATAAACAATCACTAAGTACGACATGTAAAACTATTTACTTACGACATCATCTTCGAGTATACTGACTTCTTCATCTAGTACCGTCAAATCATTCAAGCACACCACATCGTCTTCGTAATCACTAATCTCTACTATCGTACTACAAGGTGAAACTGCAATTATCTACCATTAGAAAAAACGAAACAAAACTATAATTAAGCATGAGTGAGAATCATGCAGATATCCAGACAACTCCATACAAAGCCGCTCTTCCTACCATCTCCTAGTAGATCGGAGCAAGCCTAAGCCCACATGAGTCTTCGCAAGTTATGAAATCTTAGTTAATTATGAATTCATTTGAGTTGGTCGCTCTGCACGTTCAAAAAATGAGACCTGTGATAAACACTTACCACTTTCGCTAGTGATGTCAATAACATCTCCAACTTGGGATGATGTTATCAGACTTAATTCATTCGCATCTGAAAATCATCGTTGATTTAACCAAATCCAAAAGCCGAAGAACCATAAACATATTTTAATAAGCATTATCCTACTCGCGACGAATTCCTATTGAAAAAGACATGAATTACCGCTCTAACGGTGGAAACAACCTTAAGATTCAGATTTACATGAAGTGAACACTATCTGTCCTATGAAACCTCACTGTTCCATCGTTTCGGCGTTCGAAATAAGGGAATTGAAGAAAAAGTGTAAACAAACCTCTTGGGCTTCAAAAAAGAACAGAATTAAGTCGTTATAGGGTGAGATAGTTTAATATTTTTCTTCCAAAGACATATAAACGTTGTCTATATTTAAGTTAATAATATTCGCTGCCCTCCCAATGGTTTACCGCCTCATTGTGGCTGGGAGGTGTTCCTGGGTGTGGGGCTGCCACGTACAGCGGGAGATTCAACCTCCCAGCAGAATCTGCTGAGCTAGGACTCCGGCGTTTCCTTCTATCAAAAGGCTCAGCTAAGAGTAAACCAATACCAGAATTCACCACTGCCGTGGTATCAAACAAGTCCCATGGCAGCAGATCTTCCTCTGATCCACAGCGTCGGTGACTGCTTGAGGTAGTGAAGACCTGGGGCAGACTTTGGCCAAGTTGAACTCGGGACTCCAGAGAAACACAATGGCTAAACCAGGAAAACTCCGAAAAATGGAGAATATGTGTGGGCTCGCACAACCAGTGAGGATGGGACGTCCAAGTGCCTGAGTAAGATTCGCTGCGCGGCAAGATGTGTTTTCTCGATGTTAAGAAATGCGACTACTTCCTGTGTGGGTGCATGGGAATGAATCTGCTTCGTCACAATAATTTAAGTAATGATGCTGACACTGTCTGAAGAATCTAACTCATTGATTTTAGAAACTATGATAACCCATATGATATCTGTGCCGTAGGATCTTTCGATCTACAACATACTACAGAAATGCTTTATTGTACTATGAAGAGACGGAAGAAAACTCAGAAATAAAACGAACCTTCGCTAGTAAGATCAACCACGGAAGCACCCAAAACTGATTTCACTTCACTTTTTTTGGCATTGCACAGTCTACCTATAAAGAAGCAACACTAAGTTTCCAATGATGTGAAAGAAGGTGCACTTAGAAATTGAAGGGTTTAAGCCCCGGCTGCAATTACTGAAATATTGATGGCGTTATGAAATTTCATTCGATACTTCAGTTACTAAAGTCATCACTCCCAGTGTCTGTTTTCATTGGTGTTTCGTCTTCCTTTGCTATCAAGTCAACTATGTGGCTCTTTGCTCGATCGTTTCCACCCTCCTTTGAACGAAACATAATCTGTTACAGAGTAAGAATTACAGCCAACAACCACCAACAACTTTCATTCAAAAAAACTCCTATGGAAGACACTTGTATTCTATAGAATGATGTAAATTATTCTTGAAGGATTCGGCAATTCTAAACAGCATTCGACAGTGTTTCGATTACTTCTTTACACTGAGAAGTAAAAATGCAGATATATCAATTATTACTAACATAGCATTGCATTAACCTTGTGATGACTTCGCAATGTGGTCCGGACGGTCTGTTGACGCCATACTAGAAACCTCGTCAGTCTTTGAGTCTTCTCTGAACAACTTAACCTTTCACTCATTCTAAACGAACATGCTATACTACAATATAGAAGTGAGTCATGAGATTCATTAGCACCGTAGACAAATTTATAGACTGTAAAACAAGAAAACAATAGGAACGTTCCATAAAGTTCTCGTACTTTCTTCGTTTTGCCACCGGGCTTTTCGTAACAGCTTCCCGAGTTTCGCTCAAGTCTTCTGACTCCAAATCGACGATTGGTTGTTTAAGTTTGGTACGTTGACCGTCGTTTACTGGAAAGCCGTCCACGATGTTTTGGTCGATAAATATTTTGGATTTAAAAAAAAAAAAGTGCTAAAGTAATAACTAATCATCCGGAAAATGTTGAACGATGAGCCGCTGGTTGTTGGCATGGCTGCTTGTGTATCCGGGATGATCAACGGAACAGGTAATTGACCGGAAGTTGAGAAATTAGAAGAGCTCATACTGCAATCATACTATCAAAATATATTTCTTAGTGTACGAATAGCAAGAGTTATAGGTATCCTGACAAATAACGAAATCGGGTGACAACCATTCATTATATCTACTACAAATATTTAAATTTGTGGGCCGGATAAGTAGTGCGTATGAAACGATAACTGATGGACAAGAGCCACTAGTGACTGAACTCGTCGGGATGTCAAACGTACTGCAGGAAGACCACCAAAGCGATGGTCAGAGTTATTCACGAAAACCCTAGAAGATAGGTCTTATGCTCAGTGAGTCTCTAGAGCTAGCAGAACTCACTGGGCTACTCTTGCACGCAACAGAGAGAAATGGAACACTTACTGGCGCCTGCTCGAGTCAATCGACGACCAACAGTACGACAGGTGATATAGATGGTGATACAGATGTTTAAAGAAAAGCCGAAATCCAAGATCTTCAAGACGTCAATGTAATACTAGTAAAAATAAGGAGCAAGGAACAAACTAAAACTAAATGTCGATATCATAATTGTACCGTACTACATCAATGCACAACTCTTACTTAGTACTGTCAAGAAGTAAATCTAAATCGAATTCAAAGACTTCTCCCATCGAACATACGAGCGGTAACCCCTTCCTTTGTACATGTACAGACTAGTGGAGCCAGCTACTGAAATGCTAGTTGGCGTGGATTTGGCTATCAAAGGATAGGATTCTACCATTCATCTTCCCGACAATGGACAATGTTACACACAATTTGTCCTAGAGAAACAATTTCCATGACTATCAAATGGAAGACTCGAATGCAATTTCCAGTAACAATAAACTAACCTAAGAACAAAAACTGCCCATGACTCTGCAATACAATAACTATACCATCTTCATGAGAAAGTTGCTCTCTCCTATAAAAGTTGAGACTCCTCTACCTAAGCCCTCCAACTGTCATTGCTGTTGTTCTTGCTGAGTTGTTCTTCTTGAACATAACTTACTTTAAGCAGGATCACGTTCACAAGGTCCTAAGAAGAAATCCTACCGTTAGCACATCCCGTTTACACGAATAGTGAACTTATCATTTCAATTTACATATGTTATTCCTACGGATACTGGAGCAAATCGAGTTGACCATAGAACATTTTACACCGCTTACAGCTGGTCCTCAAGTCACGTTGTGCATCCTGTTCACCGTCATCATCTCTCACCTTTCACCGGCTTTCTAAATGAGCATCCTCGTATTCTTTTTCAAGGTATGTTGGTTGAATGCTGTCGATGACGCACTAAACGGTATGGTGAATGCCACTGAGAGCATCGTTTTTGACAAGGTAAGTCCAAAGTGGAGATGTTACGAAGTAGAAACAATACTTTAAAGTTATCTAAAGTTATTTTATTAAGTTATCATACCATTTTTTTACCGATAGTATATCAGAAAAAGCACTCATCTCTTAGCGCAGCAATAAACATATGAAATGACTAGGCATTGACAAAAAAGGAGCTCACCTCATTTACGACCTTAAAGATAAAGTTCTCTCCTTCTATACTGGTTGTATCACTACTAGCATTTAATCGTAAGGAAATTCATACGAGTTCATTTTATAGGTTTAAGGGAAACTTCTCATGTCATTTTTACCACCAAACACAAAGCTTAAACAGATAGTTCTGCTTATTCCTATTTGCATTCGCCTTTCTTTTACCATCATTGGGTGTCAGCTACAAAAAAGTGTAAAGCTCTCTTGATCAATGCCTGAAGGATGCGCCATGCACTCGACTTCATTAAGCATCGTTGGAGGTGATTCAATGAATATCTGGTCTTTACAATGACTCGCGGTGGCCTACCGATGTATCGAGTCATTGCTGTTATCCTCCCAGACAAGTCTGGTACCAATTTGCCGACTCCGAAGAGATGGAATGCCTGGTTGACCTGAGGCGCGGAGATCGATCCCATGTGTATTGTTGAGCGCCTCCGACCAATGCGCTACACACGCCATGGTATCAGCTATAAGGTATTTGATCCATTTAAAAGGAATATGACATGACTACTAAAATAAGGTGTGATTCTTACGACGAAGCTAAAAATGTAAGTAACCACATCGGTACTTAGTGCAAGGTGAAAATCCAGAACTAATACAATTTTGTTCTACTGCCGTTCAGGATTATAAAACATGCAAGAGCTTCAAAACGATGCTGAGACATTTGCAAAATTTGAACCCCAAGCCAGATCACACCAATCGATTCAATAATTTCATTTCAAAGTTGGAACACTTCAACTCACAAAATCAGCATCTTGCTTGGAAGATGAAAGCGAAAGAAGATGAGCAACTTCTACCGAAATTCAATAATAACTCATCTTTGAAAAAATTACAGAACTGTCGCAGAGTCACTTTGCGCAGTGACTATGTCGAGTACTGTGCCAAAGGTTCTGTTTCGCTCATAGGCGGTGGTGGATCAGGTCATGAGCCTTACGCTGCAGGCGATCTTTTTACGCTACCAGTCAAACGGTGACGATTCTTCAGCATATTAGAACAATACCTCACTTATAAGAGTTCGATCGATTTAGTTTTATTTCAAAAATGGTTAAATGAAGAACGATGTGCAAAAATCCCAACAGACTTTATATTTTTGATTGGAAAGCAATTTATATATTAAACGTAGTAGCTAATTTAAGTTGATACAAAATTACAGGCCATCTTATAAGGCTACATTGGAAGTGGAATGCTCACTGCGGCCATATCCGGTAACGTATTCACCTCACCACCATCACGTCACGTCAGCGCAGCTTTAAACTCCACTACAACGAGAGGTCCAATCCCTGCTATTCCAGTTATACTAAGCTTTACCACCAGCGAATAGACTGTTTTCGTTGAAAAAAACTTCAAAATTACTGCAGGCTAATCAGGCGTATTGTTAGGTGGGTCAATCCTGTTCGTCATCAACTACACTGGTGATCGCCTCAATTTCGACTTAGCAGCTGAACGATATGCAGCAGTTGGACACCACGTACGAGTTCGTCGTATCCGTTTCGAAAGCGATAGTTCAGTGTTTATCCACCAAGTGATCAGATAGTATCTATCGCCGATGATGTCGCTATCGAACCTTCAAATTCTACGGTAGGCCGAAGAGGTTTGGCGGCCGCTGTACTCGTCATAAAGGTTGGTCTGTTGTGTGAGCATGAGATTAGTAATGAGGTCATGGCTACTCTGTAATAATGCACAGATTGCTGGTGCTATGGCCGAAAGCGGAAAATATACCATAGATGAAATAGAGTCGAAAACAAATCGAGTGAAAGAAAATGCTGGTTGGTTTTCTCAATTAATCGTTAGTTATATCGACTTCCTCCAAACAGTTTTCATCGTGGTAGGTGTTCCTAGGTGTCGGGCTACGACGTACAACGGGGAGATTCATCCACTTAGCAGGGTCTCCAAAGCTGAAAAGGAGTCCGGCGTTTTCACTAGCAAACCCAGCTGTGTACCAGGATCCACCGCTGTTTTAGTATCAAGCTAGTTACATGGTGGCAAATCTCCCTCTGATCAAGAGCGGCGACAGCCTACGGTGGTCGCGAACTGGGGTAGAGTTTGACTAGGCTGACCTCTCCAGGGAACCATAATGGCTAGACCCGCGAAACTCCGAAACGATGGGAATTATGCTGGTGCCCGCAAAACCAGTGAAGATAGGCCATTCAAGTATCCAAATAAGTACAAAAGCTATAACTGAATTATTTTGTTGGTAAACTTTCACTGCACGATGTTCAAGCACTAATTAACAATCAGTGCCAAAAAAATTCGGACGTTGAATGTAGAAGCTTTAAGAATATCCATTATGAAACTTTCAGGTACTATGGGAGTTTATATCCCTGTACCCTACCAGGTTTTGGCCAAACATTCGAAATCCCGAACGATATGATGGAAATCGATTTCGGTATTCATGGTGAACCGGGATTTCCTCGTGATCCAGTCCGTTCCGCACGAGAAATCATCGACACTATGATGGCTAAGCTTCAAACGGACATTGGGTTCACTAGAGGTACGTATCAATACGTCGACGCTCCCAGTTCTCAGGAACGACGACGGCAAGGAGCTGTCCTATAACTAAGCTTACATAAGTGCAAGCTGAATTTAGCAGTATTATAACGTGACTCTGAATATTTTCTACAATTCACTCACACAAATGTATTTGAAACGTGCTGGAAAATAGATTTCGCTGAGGAATGGTCGAACAAACGTGGTTAGTCAAAAGACCTCCGCCAGTAAACAGAAAAATGCATGAATTGTTTTGCAAAGTAGAAAGATTAATATGAAACAATAGCGGAAACTGGGTAAGTAGATCCACAATAGAAGCACCATTATTTCTTCAACTGCTTTCCTACAGAGCTAATTTAATGTGAATAACAATTGTAGAGACTATTTCATCTCCTAATCAAGAAACATTAAACTTCACTAAGGTGACTAGGAACCTAAACTGACCAGAGGATTTCAAACGCGTACATCTCAGCCAAACGCAATAGAGCAACACCAATACCATTCAAGCCTCCTGCTATACACTATGCATAAAGTTCAAGGATTTATCCTTTCCACTTTCCCAACCGATTGTTCCCTAAAATTCCTTGACATTCGACTTTACTCACTACAATATATATACATATACATATTGCGTATGTAATCATATATATGCACGTATGTGTAGATGTATGTATATATATGTGTGTGTAGGAGCACCACGCAATGCAGAGGTTGCAGGTTAGAGGCGCTGTCCAGTATGCACATGATTCCTGTGTTCCATCCAAGACTACCCTCCGTCCGGGGTTGGCAAATTGGTGTCAGACATGTCTGGGGGATAACATCACTAACCTGAAACATCAGTAGGTTGCCGCAAGTCACTGTGTGTGGCAGATATTCATCCAGTTACACCACCTGTAACGATCCTTAATGAAGAGGAATGCGTGACACATCCCTAGAGATTGTTTCATCCATTAAAACCGAAAGCTTTTCAGCTTTATATGCATTTACAATCTTTAATACGACCCATATTCACGTTTACTGGGCGGATTCCAGCACTTCTCAAATTCCATTCGTTTTCTCCTATTCGTTATCCACGATGGTCTTCTAACTTCAAGGTGTGGCTTCGGCTACTGCTTGAGGATTTTTCATTTTATCTTGAATGTCGTATAATGCTGGTCGAGTCGATTCTCCTTGGATTCCTGAGATAGCCGAGCTGGAGTTGCCAACTGGACTGCAGACAGTGATTTTTTTCCGGACAAGATGATCGACACAGCCACTGTGTTATCCGCCTGTTATACATTATATATTACATACACGTACATATATATGCATATGTATGTATGCATATATAATGACATCGAAGTTGCTAGACTTGATGAAATTCTGGAATATTGGAAAAGTAGACTATTGAATTTGTTTTCCAGAACAACCAGTCGTTCTTCTTCTAAATAATCTAGGCAGTGTTTCTCAAATAGAAATGAACATAATCAAAAGTGAAGCCATCAAGTGATGCCCTAAGTTTTTTTATAATGCTTCTCAAAAAACTACTTAATACATAATTACTGTTGCCTCTAGTCGATTGCAACGGCGGGTGTGGCGCAGTGGTCGGAGACGACACATATGGGATCGATCCTTGTGCCCGCGGTCCACCAAGCCCTCTATCACTCCGCGGTCAGCCAATTGGTACTAGACCTATCTGGAAGCACTGGTTCGATACATAGATAGGCCACCACGAGTCATTGTAAAGGCCATATATGCATTCAATCACATGCATACGATGCTTAGTCGAGTCGAATGCATGGCGTATCCTTCAGGGATTGATCAACGCCGAGAGCTTTATCCTTTATCTTTATTTTATGCTGCGATTCAAGCTGAGAAATGAATGTGCGAAGTCGTTCAACGAAATAAGTTTTAATCGAAGAACACAATCGGCGAAACAGTTACAGTTATGTACTCACCTAAAACGAACATTCCTTTCAAGAAAAATGAGAGAATACGAAAATAATGGACACGGATTCAGTATTTCTGTTTTACGAATATTCGACAGCAAGATAGTAGACTACGTAGGTGAGTTCAACGTGCCTCTCACAAAAGGTTTAACATTCCATAGTTCGAAATCTATCGTTTTCCAATTCAATGGCGACAACATTGATTTCTGGATAATTAGCGGCAGATGGAGTAGACCCTACCTCGATCGTGCGCCACGGTCTCAGAAAGCCCTCGATCCCCTCAGCCTAGACTCATTTTGCCTGTTGGCAAATTTGTCTTATAGCCACAAGAATACTATACCGTCACACCTTTCTCAGGTCGTCTACAGAGCATGCAGTTGCCTATCGTGTGGATCCGGAGGAAGTTCTCGCCATCCGATGACTATTGACTATATTTGATGTTGGCGACTTTGTATGGATTTAACTGAGATTCAGAATGAAAGTGTTAAACCTTTCAGCTTGAGTGATTGTGTCAGCGAAATGTACCCTTGTCCGCACTGCAGTTCAACATCCAAGGAATCCCCGCTTATCAATGGACATACGGCATCCCGTCGAAATCTGAGACATGACTGTGGGTAAAGCATATCATCATTAAGGAAGACGTTGGCTAGGAGCTATAACTGTTGGTTAGATACAGAAATCCTGCTGACGGTTTACTGAGTCACCATGGCTACGAAGTGTTCCTTGGTGTCGGGCTGCGATGTACAGCGAGAGGATTCACCTCCGCAGCAAGACCTCCCAAACTGAGGAGTCCAGCGTTTCCATAAGGAAGTCCAGCTAGGAGTAAACGAACACCAGGATCCACCACCGTCCTAGTACGAAATTAGTCGCATGTTGGCAAATCTCCCTCAGATCCACAAAGGCGGCGACTGCCTCTGGTGGTGACGACCTCGGGCAGACTTTGGCTAAGCTGACCTCGGGACTACAGGGAACAACAATGGCTAGGCCAGAAAAACTCCGAAAAAAATGGAAATTATGCTGGGATCCCCACAACCATTGAGGACGAACCATCTAAGTATCCAATTAATGATTGCATTTTAGCACTTTTCACCACGTGACCACGTATACGGAACAATTTTAGAGGAAGCACTACTAGCGAAGAAATGTGTACAAGCCGTCCGCGAGAAGATGACAGCAATGGAGTCGGAATCAAACGCACTTGACGGCGTTGTCGGTGACGGTGACCGTGGCTCGACATTCGCACATGCGTCAAAAAATCATTGACACTTAAGTGTACTGAACATGCCAAAAATTCCCCAATATGGTAACTACTAGTTTCAGAAATGTTTTAGGCGTATCCGACATAACAGCACCATTTCAGTGATCAATGATCGAATGAAAACGCTTGAAGTAAACAGTGCACAGCAACTACTACTATCCCTGTCTGAAGTATTTGAACAGGAAGTCAGTGGCACTGCAGGAGCAGTTAGCTTTCTCTTTCTTAAGGTGATGAAGTCGAATTCGTACTGGTACCACGTTGAAATTCCAGTTCTACGCACTTATGCTTAGCGCAGCGGCTGGAGAATTTACTACACCGATAGTATTCAAGCATTTCTCCACAGCTCTCATGAAGGCGACCGAACATTGGTAGTCCATTCTTTTTGGAATAGCTCAGTCCAGAAATAGTAGTAAGACATGTAACCGTTATAAAAAAAATGAGGAAAGAATGCCAGACTTTCCATGTACTACTCATGCAGCTTAAATTATTCACGAACGTTTCATGTCGACGCACTTTATGCTGTCAATGAGAAGATAAATGGTGGAGAAAGCAACTGGGATGTAATCTTAGAAGTTGGTTATCATGACTTTGATACCGATATTCTACAGAATAATGTATACAGAGGCAGCAGACCTTACCACAAGCGTCAAATAACCCAGTTTCCAGGCTGCTATGAAGGCAGCTCATTCAACGGCCCAAATGAAAACACGTGCTGGTCGGGTTAGCAACAGTGCGGAAGAGGTATGACTTATTACAAATACGCTGTAAAGTTGGTGAATACTTAGACAACAATACCTTTAGGTCTTAACAAACTCATGTTAATCATAGGCAGTAATTTGAATTTATTCCGTACCTATTAAGGCGCTCCCAACGGTTTACCGCGTCATCGTGTCTGGGGGGTGTTCCTAGGTATCGGGCTACGATGTACAGCAGGGTGGATTCATCACCCCAGCAGTCTTTCAAACTGAGGAGTTCGGTGTTTCCATCAGGAAACCCAGCTAAGAGTAAACCAATACCAGGATCCGTCACCGTTCTGGTACCAAACTATTCGTATGGTGGCGAATTTCGCTCTGATCGACAAGGGCGACAACCGCCCGTGGTTGTGACAACCTGGGACATACTTTGGCTTGGCTGACCTCGAGACTCCAAGGAACCACAATGGCTAAATCAGCAAAACTCCGAAAAATGGAGATTATACTGTGGCCCGCACAACCAGCGAGGACAGACCAACCAAGTATCCGAGTAAGTATTACAGCGAAAACTCTCCAAAGCGAAAAACACTGCTCCTACAGTATTTGTTCAAACCTTAAACCTTTAATGGGCTTATGAATCCCGTTTTTCAGGTGCAAACAAGACCAGATGCAGGTGCAGTGGCAATAGCACATTTTATGCTAACGATATGGCAGACGATTAAATATAATAGTAGCTGAGAAGGAAGACATACACAACCTCGTCAAGACGAGACAGGAAAACAAAAGTCTAAAAATCGGAACGAAACTTTATTAACTTCAGTAAATTAGTATAATAAAGCCATCAAAGCATAACATCAATTGGTAATCACAATGGTCGACTATGTGGACGTATAACGGTGTGTAGTCCAGCCGTAGATAGCACAAACAGTGTGTTCCTGTCCAGCATCTGGAAATATCGATTGTTTCAATGCCACCTTTTACTAGTATCTGAAACCAATGTTCTGAAGTCGTCATTTTGTTCAATACGTGGCTTCTCAAAGGAAAAACTTAGTGTGCTCACACCATAGCTTTCAATCTCAGAACATGTCTAAAATGCCAATATGACGGTTTCAATAACCGTCCACAGAACCTTTGCTTACGGATGTATGCAAAAGAGTGCGCTTTAAACCTCAAAGTTATAAAACTGTCACCAACACAGTGTTGCCGTGAACGCATCTTTGCCATGAACGTCGTAAGGCAAGCGGAAGGAATGCTCGCCGATTTTGATAACACCTGTGGGAAGATTGGTTTTCGACAGAATCTCACAAAAACTATGTTCATGAAGAACGGATTGGTTTCGCATGCCCCATTCACGCTCAACGGAACGAATATCTCCGAATGCTCCAGTTATGTCTATTTAGGTAGGGAAATCAAAATTATGAACGACTTAGCTCCAGAGTGGAAAAGAAGGAAGCGAGCGGCTTGGGGAGTTTTCCAGAGCATCGAGGATGTAGTAGTGAAGAGAACAAAGAGCACCCGACTCCTGCCCACCTTTTCGACTCCAAGATTCTTCCTGCCTCAATATATGCGTCAGAAACCTGGTCGTTAAATAGGCAGAATGAAAGATTACTCAGTGTTATAGAATGCTTAGTTGAAAAGGCAATCCTAGCATCTCGTACCACACAAGTGAGGGTGGAGATCAGCAGCTCCTACCTACGTTAACGATTAAGAATCAAAGACATCGTTCCATAAGGCAAATTTTGGAAGATAAAATGTGCCGGACACATAACGTGTATGACTGACAATCGATGGAGAAAAGCCGATACCTATTACATTCCTCGGGATATCAATCGCACAGCAAGAAGGCCACCAATTCAACGGTTGAATTTTTTCATGAAGACCCTAGAAGAAAGACATGATGCTTAACGAGTCCCTAGAGCTAGTAGAACTCACGGGGCGGCTATTACACGCGACAAGGAAAAATGGAAGATTTACTGGCACACGCTCGAGTCTCTCGACGATTAACGGGACTACAAGTGATACGGACGATCTTCAAAAGCTAGCTTTCAGGTTCACAATCAAAGACGATTTCTTAGAATATATGTGACTTTTTTGTAATTAGCAAAATGTCGGCACATAAGGGTGATTCCATACGGAGAATAAGAGCTATGGGATTTGTTGTTTCACAAAAAAGTATGTAGTAATATGAAAGGTTTAGGTATTAAAATAATGAAGAAGAATTTTAAAAAAGAGTAACCACCGTACCTTTACAGAAACGATCGGGGCATGTATCTTCGTCATTGACATAATTTCGTGACTAACAAGATCGCAATTGGACGAATAAAACAGGATTTTCTGAATATGTACGGACGATGTCCTATAACACATTTTCGAAATAAAAAGTTACTTGTTTGTATTACCCCAGAATATGTTCCAACTGCTATGCTATCGTCAACGGTACAAGCCGAAGTAATTGTATCAAATTGTTCCGACTGTGATAAAAAGAATTCGCTGTTCCAACTCAGTATATCAGCCTGTGATATTAATTAAGGTTAGACTTCAGTGAAAGTCTAATAAAACTCATTTTGAGCTAAAGTCGTGTTAGAGGACAAGTTCTACAGTGAGAACAACAATAAGCTGGAAAGTAAACTGGAATGGAACAAAAAGTACCATACCTCATAGAAGCATTTCCACACTGCAACTGGACCAAGGGTCGAAGATATTACAATGAATTCCTCATCACGATAGCTCGTATCATCAACTTCCTTCACTAACCCTTGTGAGTCTGATGAGGTACGCTGGAGAAACGTAAGAATAGAAATTGGTCCAGAGAATTTTATCAGCTTCCTAAAACGAATTCATTTAAGTATTTGAACTATGCAAACGATACTACTATGCAGTTCGCAACAGGTAACGCACAACTGCACTTAAAGTCGCTTGAAACCTCTATATGATTAAAACCCTTACTGGTCACCGAGTGACTCGAGACCACTCCTGTAGTCTCCATTCGTCCACCTTCCATGTCGGCGTTTTTCAGTGGATTCATGGCCAATCCAGGGCCATAGGCGGCACATTTTCGCCCACTTCACGAAGTCCGACGGTCTATGATCTTCTCTTTTGTGTACTGAATACTCTATGGAACCTAGCGCTTTGCCATAAAAGTCCTCAAGATGCCAAATATGTCTATAGAAATTAATTCTCAACACCTTACCTTATGTGACTGTATCTCTGAACTTTCCATCTGTTGTTTCCGTTTCCGTGCAGTTATCGTCTTATAGTGACTTAGTTTCATGTGTTTACCTATCTCGTAGTATCTCTATATTGGATATATTCTATCTATCGCATACGTCTTCTGGTTCACATAATAAATCTCGAGATGTGCAAAACTGCGTGTGGAGGGCGCGTGTAGCGCTGTGATCGGAGGTGCTCCGCAACACACATGTGATCGATATCCGCGTCCCTGGCCGACCAGGCCTTCCACCCCTCCAGGGTCGGCGAATTGGTACCAGACTTGTATGAGAAGGTAGCAGCATTGCTTCGATACACCGGTAGGCCATCGCGAATAATTACAGACCAGATATGCATTCAGTCACCTCCAATCAACTTTTAATGAAGCCGAATACATGGCGCACTTCTCAGGGATTGATCAACGCCGAGGGTTTAATCCTTTTTTTATTATTGTATGTGCAAGACCTCTACTATAGGAGAGTTTGCTGCAATACGACGAGTTTTCAATACTGCTGTGAGACCTGCGAATAGTCGACGAATCGTCCCACAAGTACACGTAGGGAAAGACAAACAGTTAAATGTCTCAAAAGCCACCGAATAAACAAGCAAAGAAGCATTACCTGTGCACAGTTCGACTTTCAACACAGAACACTGAAAGAACGACGTGACCAGTATCGAATCCGAAGGCGTTCCACTGTAATTTCTTAGAAGAAGTCGATGAAGAGCGTGTCACTGCACCAGGTAAGTCATGCAGTTCTAATTCTGGGAACACACTATGTATAGCCGTGGACCGGTTCACGCCAAAATGTTTCTTAAAAAGTAAGGTTAACTTTTCGTAGAAAAACTCAATAAAGCGAAGTAGAGTATAATGTCATATACATGCATATTTTAAAAATCCACTTACATCTATATTATAAATAGAAAGGCACTCCCCAGCTCCGTACAGCACCCAATATTTATACTTTTCGGAGTCAACGATTTTATCGATTAAGCGGCAGTGAGCAACTGCAGTTAACTTACTTGTCTAAATTTAGGTAATAAGGAAGGAATATCCAAATGTTTAGGAAGAACAAAAACAAAGGAAAAACTAAGAAAACACGTAAATAAACAAAGAAGTGAGTAAATAAAATTAGTCCTCCTACTCTACTAGTCATTCGAACAAGAAAGGTCGACGATATCGTGAATAACGCTCCGAAATGTCGATAAGGACAAAAGTGCTCATTGAGTTCAACCCAACTGGAATTGAAGAATTTGCAACCAAATACAAAACATGGAAAGGTCACAAGAGAAGAAATTTAAAAACAGACACTGTGGCTAAAACAGCTAGACAATCATCAACGTCCCCCTCGTATACGTCTGCACATGACAATTCAATCGAATGTCCGTTCTGCAGCGACTGCAACTTCTGATTTCAGCGGAAGCAAAAAACAACTTTTGGATACACGAAACTAGCCAGATATGCTATAAGCCAAACGATTTTAATCCATGTGTCAATCAGATGAGATCAACTAACCTGCCCTCCCAATAAATCAGGTAGAAACACCGTCTTATTTTCTTCGACGAATTGCAGACGTCCATACACACTGATAAGACAAGTGTGGATTGAAAGCGGCGTTGCGTAATCCCCTGAAATCATATGCAGCTTAGATAAAAAGTAGATCCAACGAAAATCTAATGCTATTCAACTCCACTATGATCTTAACATTAGTTGCTATTGTTATAAAACATTGAACTACTATGTGTAACAGGAATTCACATCCTCAGCAAGATAAGAAAGTTCAACATTTCCATACAGAGACCCATCTAAAAGCAAACCAATGCAATGCAGTCACTTCCTCGCCAGAAGAAATCGGATTGTAAATCTTCAATTTCGCTTAAGTTCACATGGGCCGATGACTGTCTGCAGTGCCGGCCGGCTCTAGGAAGGAAGCTTCACCAAACCAACAACATATGGGCCAAATGAAAATGTGCTCCGGCCAGTACGATTATTCGTCAGGATGAGCCACTCAATACCCAGACATGTTGCTAAAGCAGTTTGCTGGTTTTCCGTGGAAAAATACTCAATTTTGTAATGTAACCTGTTCCACGATCACCACAGTTAAACGGGAGACCATTTCAACTTTCTCCACTCTAATCCTCCCTACTTTGTTAATTTTTGCCCCATCAGAACACATGTGTTCTTCAAATAATTGGAAGAAAAATAGCTACCTCTACTTTCGAGTGGATCTTTGCGAACAATGAAAACATTGACTGCATCCGTAAATGGAAGAAAACTTTGCTCAGAGAAAGTAACTTCAGTCTCACTCTAAAGTAACACATTACAGTAAACGACAAAAGCTTTACAAATGCTCTAACCACGTACAATAGGTAATTCCAATGGTAACGCCATTACTCCACTTTGCGTTGCGCCTTACTTATGTTAGTGGCCTGGACACCATTCAATTTCAGCGCTTCAATGTCTCGCTCTTCAGCCACAGATTCGTGCAACTTCTGAAGGTTTAGTTTTTAAAAAGAACCGGCTAGAAAACCAGTAAATCTCAGCAATTAAAAAGCATCGCAAGATATTCGAAAAAGTCCAAATAGCTAGTAAAATAATTAAACACTTGGATGGCCCATCCTCACTGGTTGTGAGGACACAACCATAATTTCCATTTTTTCGGAGTTTTCCTGATTTAGCCATGGTGGCTCCCTAGAGTGCCGAGGTCAGCCTCGCCAGTCTGTCCCAGGTCGTCATCACCGCAGACAGTTTTAGCTCTTGTGGATCAGGAGATTTGCCACCATTCGACTAGTTTGATACCACGGCGGTGGTGGATTCTGGCACTGGTTTACTCTTAGCTGGGCTTCCTGGTAAAAACGCCAGACTCCTCAGCTTGGGAGACCTAGCTGGGGGATGAATCCATTCCCTGTACATCGCAGCCCGACATCCAGGAACATTTCCCAGTCATGGTGAGCTGGAACACCGTTGGGAGGCCCTTGCTGTGTCAGCTGGTAGAATAAGTGAACAAAATTGGCCAAAAGTGGAATCAGCAACGGAAATCGATGACAACTTCACAAGTTTACCACATTCAAGAAGGATATTTAAAAAACTGGAAGTGTTTAAAACAGAATTTCCCTTGAGTATTAGAAAACATACTAACTAGTGGATTATACCATAAAAGGGCTTAATTTATTAAAGGTCAATACTTCCAAAATATCGACATCTGCTGGAATTTGATGTATCATATCAGAGTAGTTCATCCGAACAGTACCTGAACGTGGTCGTCCTTCACAAGGTGCAAAAGCTCTTGCTTATTGACAGCACAAGTCTGCGGAGCAACTATTCTCCTTAGATAGTTCACAGTAATAGCGGCGTCAGAGATATCGTCCTCAAATCCTTGTGAATGAGGATCGCCAGCAGTAATAAGGTGGAACAGCTGAAATTCCTAAGTGTGCTACATGTTTTATAACACATAAAAACTACCAGAACAAATCGTACCAGCTGATCCCTATATGTGGCAATGTCGTTTAGAAACTGTTTAGCAGTTGACTTCCTGGAGTCCTTCAAAGCTTTCAGTTTGGTTTCTAAAAAAAACTAGGAATAAATAATTGCCTTGTAAACTTGGACTAAGAAAGGCGGTCTACCTTAACGAGAAGATTGAAGATGGTGGTGAATGCTAGTAGACGGGTTTTGGTAACTCATGCAAGGAGTGAGGTAAGGAATTGAATCTTCAGGGACTTAATAAATAGGCGAAGGCAGTATTGGAACATCGATATCGTTAATTTATTTAATATTTCTTTCATGTAAAGTCTGGCACAATGAAACAGTCCCAAGAGTAAGAGTCCGTATTTCTGTTTTATGTATGGAGCGAACCTTAACGGCTCCCTATTCTGTGGTACGTGTATGCCTTCTTAGTCACACCATTCCAACGACTACTTTAAACGCCTCAAGACGCTAAAAATCAACTGCTAGATTCTCACCGAGTGCGGCTAGATACTCCTCGTCGACCACCCTCTCCCCGATCTCCACTGACATTCGATCTCGAGGTGTTGGATATTTCGCACGGATTGAAAAACAACAGCAAGCCACCTGAAGGAAGTGAAATCAATGGCTGTTGGTGGGAGATCCAAGCGAGGTAGAAGCAACGAGAAAGCCAAAACTCGTTTAGAACATTCTTTTTTCTGCAATAAGCAACGGAATACATCAGTAATTGGGTACGCAACTTTTCGTGCGGAAGTCCATTATGCCTTTACCGTAACACGAAAAAAGCCGTAACGGAAATTGGATTGCGGACAACGCGCGGCTTGACGGAAATTTAACCCTACTGCATAGGAGGTGGAGGTGGGACAAGTAGCGAAGTGGTCGGAAGCGTCTTGCAGTACACATAAGATCGATCCTCGCCCCCTTGCCCCACCAAGCCATCTGTGTCTCTGGAGTCGTCAAATTGGTACCAGACTTGTGTGGGAGGATAGCAGCATCGGTTCGATACATCGGTTGGCCACCTTAAAGGCCAGATATGCATTCAGTCACCTCCAGACGATGCTTAATGAAGTTGAATGGATGGGGCATCCTTCAGGGATTAATCAACGTCGAGAGCTTGATTCTTTTATCCTTTAATAGATGTTGGAGGCATCACTGCGGCACACACGTGGAATCGATCTCTCGCGCTCACGGCTCACCAAGCCCTCCATCCCTCCGGAGTCGGCAAATTGGTACCGGATTTATCTGGGAGGATAGCAGCACTGGCTCGATACATCGGTAGGCCACCGCGAGTCATTGTAAAGGTCAGATATGCATTCAGTTACCTCCAGCCGATACTTAATGAAGTCGAATACATGCCGCGTCGCTGACGGATTGATCAACGACGAGAGCATTATCTCTACCCTTTTATACTGCATGGGTTTTTGTTGGATTGGTATTTTTACCGCTGGGTTTCTGCTACCGTTTCCCTTCCATCCAAAAGACTTTCCACGACCTTTTAAATAGGAACTACTAAAACAACGGCATTACACTCTACTAAGTTGATCAGGTACTTTTTTGTGGATCCACCAATATCTCTACGATGCAGAATTCGAGGGCAACGACATTAATGCACAGAATGTTGTAGTATTCTTCTACAGAATGCAAGACCCAAGCCTTAAATGTTAAGCACTGAATGGTACTCAAAACCACAATGATGCTATGTCAGCAAAATTTAAAGTCTCAAGGGCACTTCGAACTAGCGAGAAGCCTAATAGCACCGATAAGAAAAAAGAAGAAATTAAAAAAGTTTCTGTAGGTGAGGTGGATAGTATGTGAATATAAGTAAAGCGTAATCACGAATTCGAAGCACATCTGAGGATTCCGAGTCTTGCTCGTGTCTCTGCTTTATTGCAGTTCCAAAATTTCTAACCCAAAACCGGTGGCTGCAAACATGAACGTGGTAAAGAAAGAGGACGTATATCCTGTAGGTACAGGCTCAAACAATGTTTATTGCAACTAACGACATTCATTTCAAACTGTGATATGTCGACTAGAGTTGAAGGCGGACTAAGGGTCAAGTGACCTAAAAATCCTTCAATAGCCTAAAAATTCTTTACAGTAGCATTTCAATTACAAAAAATATGCAATCGCTACGAAGAAACATATTTCTACGTTAGTTCCAGGTTCTGCAAATCCTCGACGAAGGTAGGTTTATGGCGCCCAACCATATGGAGATCTAATCCTAGTAAAGTGTGGAACTTGTCGTTACACTGGAAATGGTACACGAACATACATGGATGTACAAACTACCATTAAAAAATTGGCTTGTAACCTTATCATTAGCATCAAGACATATAAGAACTAACCTCTTCGCATTCTCTTGACTTATTGTGAAATACTGCGGTATGTATGCAATCCGTATCCTCATTGTGAAAGTACAGTTTGCACTCAGGACAATGAATAAATGAGCTAAATAAAAATAATGACAAAATGTAGAGATTTCTGCGAAATACAACCATAACGATGCTGAGATATCTGCAAAACTCCAGACCGCAGGTGTCTGCGATGGGGAACGAACGCGTTATTATCCTTTCCGGGGGTTGACACGTTCACCACCACAGCGGGTCCTTCGTTTCGCCACTCTCTCAGCTATTTGTATCGGCCATCTGATGACAATAATCGATAGAAATAGCTGAGAGACAGGCGAAACGAAGGAACCGCATGGTGTGGTGGTTCAGCTCGCGGAAAGGGTAACAGCGCGTTCGTTAGCCACCGGAGACACCTGCGGTCCGAAGCTTTGGAAATGCCTCAGCATCGCTGTGTTTGTGTTTCGCATAATATCCTGCCCCGAAAAATTAAAATATGCAGCAATTAAAAAGTAAAATATAGAGAATTCTCTATCTACCTAACAAATATTTTCTTTAAGTCAACAGAGAACATTTCTCACAACTGCATGTAACGTATTGTATTGTAAAATATCTGCCACAACACCCTCGTTTGTGCTCTAAACTCAAATCCCGTCCTAACCACCGGGCACGCCACACTGCGGGGCCACTCTTAACCATCACGCACACCATCAGGCACGCTACTGGACACGACGTATAGCTTAGGGACTGGAATCTTCAAACCGTGCCTTGAACATGTGACCTAACCCACTCGCTTGGACGTAGCCACGCCCCCTATCACTGCCATTTGCCTGCTGGCGACGCGTAGAGCTCGCCGACCTACTCCCTACTTAAGGCGAACAGTTACCCAGATGAGGTCGAAACCAAGTGAACTACTTGAGCGCAAAACATGCACTGGGTAGACATAGTCGTTATGTACATGAAGGAAGAAAAGATTAAAAAAGACAAAAGATAGATGCCGATGCTTAGACTCGCGTTTTATGCCTACGATCAGCTAAAAAACCTGAGATACTGTGAGCGGAAGAAGCAAAAGAACACTGGTCCTGATCAGATTGTTGGTTGGACTATCATTTGTCAACGATCCGTTCCTTAGGTTCCTGAATATGATTTAATAATGACTAAACTCACTCGTCATCACACGAGGAGCTGGTTTGAGCCACCATTTCGTGCCAAATCTTGCTCATGACATTCTTTTCCTGAGCTAACGAAACGCCGAAATCCGACTTCCTTGTGGACAATGTTGCTTGCGCTCGAGATAGAACCGCGTCTACGACAGCACAAATATTTAACTTCAGCCTTCTAGTGAAGGTTTCAATTTGTTTTATATTGCTTTCTATGCCAATGTAGACATCAACACATGCTTAGTGATATGAATAGTTGAAATTAGTGTAATTTAACACTTCTTTTCTAAAGATGGACATGCACCTCATCTTGACTGGATTTTATTTTACAAGTACATATGAAGTAGGCTTTCTAGTGAAGAAAGCAGTTTACCTATTTGATCTAGCCAACCAGTGGTGATGTCAATTATTCCTGAATGAGATCTGCCTGGAGAGAACAGCAACCGCACGCGCAAAACTCCACCTTGTTGAAGAAAAGAATCCCATCCATACAAAAGAAGACGCTGAAATGGCTTCTACCAATGTTTAATTAAATCTAGATGAAAAAGCGCTCGCTTGCTTAACAGAACTGAACTACTTCAGATAATTCATTATGAGTTATTTTGTTCACGAGATCTGTCCGTTATTAGTTAATGGGTGGTCCTGCACACACTTGCTTCAGTGGCTAGCGTTGCCGCCACTTCGCTCCTTCTATTCCTAGAGCGCAAGAGAATACTATAAAACCTTGTTCCAAGAAGTAGTTCTAAAACGTCGACAGAGGCCCAAAACCTTATGCTCAAGAGTTAAAACCCAGTGAAAAGCACTGAAAACACCGCTTTTATAACACCGCTCTTACTATACATTAGCACATCGTTGTCAAAATATATAGGAACACCTAGAACGAAATTATCGATTAACATAAACACAAAATTTATAGCCGCATTTGGATTCCGAGGATTTTCTCGATACAAAAGAACTCAAAATGTCGCACCCAGGAGCGGACACAGTGTAAACCGCAGCCAAATGGAGCTGAGTACACAAATTTTTGACCCGCTGGTCGACTTAAGGCATGTGATCCCTGTCTACGTTCTGCCGAATTGACCCTCGCAGGTCTGTGCGCCAGAGAAAGGCACATGTGTATTGATGTGTGTGTAAGCATTATAAAGCAGACTTAACTAAAGGTCTTCAATAAAGTGAATGAAAATTATTATAAACGAGATGTTACCACTCCCAACTAATAAAGCTTGAGTCTACTTCGACAGAGTGCAAAAAGTTATCCGTGTGTAGATTTGGACCAATGTCTTTGGAGAGAACGAAGCTCTAGGCAGTTCTTGAACACAACACTGACCGCGTGGAGGCACCATCCATTAACAAGACTGATAACGAGGACGATAGACGTGACATATTAAGATTTTCCAGTGGGCTATACCATATTGCTACTGAATAACGTAAGGAAGGTAATACCATTTTAAGCAGAATTAACACATTAGCGACGTCACGGTCTGCACCAAGGTGGACCCCAATTTTTTGCCGTTATGGATTGCACTGAACACAAAATGCGTTGTCACAACAACTAATGTTCTCACTAGCATCATTCCTTGTATTACTTCTCCGACAAAAAAGACAGAGAATCACCGTGGGAACCGTGCATTTATATTTGTGCAACAGGGACCTTTTAGGACCATTTCTCACGTGGCCACTTTCGACAGTGGAAAGATCTCTGCGTTCTCGTATGAACAACAGCCTTCGAGGTGGCACAAATAAATGTGATAGCATGAAACTTTTTTTTTCGTAAATTACCATGCGTAGAATAAACATTCTTTGGGAGCGAGTACTACATAACATATTTGGTGCGAAAGCTATGAACTGGATCTAAAAAATGTGTAGGAAAAACAATATGCAGAAAAATCAAACACGAAAAAAATGCGTTCATATCAACGTGGATTGTCATGGATTCGTTAGAGGTTTCGACTAGATACGACCTAAACACTCACGAAGCGATCAGCGATAACTCCTGAGGGTACGTCATTTGCGCTTTTGCACGCCTCTGCCAGCTTCATCATTGTCTCTACATAGTAAGATGTTATCACTTGTTGAACTACAGACGACAGGTCCTGTTATTTGGAAAAAATATTGAGATTGCAGTTAACACATAACGGTCAACTCAAATCTTTAAAAAAAAAAAGCAGTACAAACAGTAAACTACCGAGAATCTCGCAATTTACCATATTTCCAGCAAATTCATCTGAATGCATTGAGATGAAGCGCAAACTACATGAAAGAATTTGGTAACGAAAACACCTTTTCAATCTCCATCTCTCCTTTCGACAAATCATTACGCGTCCTTAACTGTTCGCAGACTTCGTCGACTGCTTCAGTTATTGTGTCTATGAACTTTGTGATTTTAAGCATGCTCACCTAAAATTATAATAATGTCGCATCAAAATGTGCAAAGAGATTGAAAAACACTGCAAACCCTGCTGGAATCCAGTGTAAGCGCTAGCAAAGCGTTTTCTGGAAGACGGACTATCAGCATGGAGCTAAAGGAATTGTAGTCGAGGCCTTAAAAAACGGTTCTAATTTTAAGAAATGGTTAAAAATAGTTTGTATGGAAAATATCATTACGGTGGTGAAGTTGTAATGGAGTCGTTCGCTCAAATATTGTGGTAAAATTTGCAGGGAGCGTTGATGCATCGCCGTCCATAAGCTTTCCTGAAAACTCGATAATTGTGAAAACATGACCATCAGTTATTAATAGTAAGCTGGCGACAAAATCCTCTACCAAATATGGCTTTCAGCAAAGAGTTGATTAACATGCGGTGGGTCTACATGGATAGTTTTTTCCACTTTTTCTTTTCAAATAAATACTTTCTATTCATTGATTTTCCTTGATAATATTCTTTTGCATATTTCAACATACAACACCCAAAACACGCCTTTTCGACAACTAACCATTATTTTTGGACCACTAAAAGGACAGGAGAATGGAGAACTTGCTTTGTACAGATCTGGCATGAAAGACATATGAAAGAATTTGAGTTAAAACCAAAATAAACCAATAATTTGAATATACTAACCCACTCTATGGTTTACCACAGCTGAAAGATATTGTTGGTTTTAGCAAGGAACGCAAGGATCAGTGGGAGTTCCACCTCCTACTAAGAGCTCTCAAACTGAGGAACTTCACATCTCCATGATTGACATATATAGAATGCTTAGATCACCGAACTATTTACAACCTCATCGTGGATGAGTTGGTATTCCTGGGCTATCGAGTCGAGATGCATAGTCGAGGTTTGTCATAAATGGCGGTCTCCCGAGTGAAAATCCGAACTAGGAGTGATGCACTGACTAGCAGAAATCTCTGCCGATCCGACGATAGCCCAGCAGTCCGACAAAGCCACAAGTGGTGAAAAGCTGGAAAAAGATTAGCACACAGTACTAGATTCCAGTGAAAGAAAACTCGTCCATGAACAAATTATCTGTAAAATGGAAACCGACTAGTGCCTGAATGGTTTTTGAATTGTGAAGATGAGCCAAGAAAGGACTCAGGCAACTAAGTAACTAGATCACTCCAAAAATAATGGTCGTCTTTGTGGTTCTGTAGAGAAAAAAACTTCCGGACAAATAAATGTTGCATTCATTGTTGACGTGCACCTTTTAAAGCTTACTTCTTGCTCGACAATTCGTCGCTAAAAACTTCGTTATAGGATGGTTGAAATGACGCTCTCAAGATATGAAAACCAAATCACTGCGTTCCGTAAGTTCAAACACGGACATAAAGCACTAACAACTCGAAATGTCATTATACCACGGAATACGGAAGGGCATATGTACGTCAAATAGTAGAGATAGTGCGTAGGGTTTTGAAGCAGTGATATGAGTAATCATGGAAGCGATCGTTGGCATCAGCTGATAATCAAATTTGCTCGTCTAAAAACTGCTAGAGAGATGGTAGAGATACTCGAAAATTTCAATCTAGTAGTCGTTTGCAATGTATAAGACAAATTTAAGCTCGATAAACAGGTGCTGTATGAATTCTACCAATCACTGGGAGATGTTCGCCATGAACATTGCTCTGCGCTTCTTTTGTACAATAGAAAGTTCCATTTCACAGACGCATTGTAACGTAGAAGGATCTTGTAAGAATGCCCGCGATATTCAACTGTTCGATTTGCGATGAGGGTGCCAAAAAATAAAAAAAATAATAAAAAAAAATAATGATTTCCAAGGCCGAAACTGCATGAAGAATAATAGTCATAATACTCCTGAATTATTAACAGACTGGAGATTGGTGAAAACATTTATTCGACTAACGTTTCGGTGCTTTCGCGTTCTTCAAAGTCACGTTTATTCGAATCGATGGCTGCCAGCTGGTTGTTGTTGCACCATGTCCAATACAGTGGAGGAAGCACCACTCAAATGAAGTTTGAATAGCCGGCGGTGCCTCCTCAAACAAGGCGGATGACCAGTTGCCCACTTAGTATGATCTGCTTTTCCAGAAGCAACGAATCCTGCGGCAGTCGTCCAAGCAGAGCAAGAAGGTGGAAGCACCGAAACATTACCCGAAAAAATCCAGTTACCAACCTCGTGCATGCTTAACAATCCTATTTAAGTATTGAGTGATTATGTCAACGTTTAAAGGAATTCGGTTTTTAAGTTATCATAATTTTTTGTTATTGTCAGATGGAATTATGTAGCACAAGAATAACAAGACGGCTTCAGCTGAATACTACTGGAAAATTATTACAATTAGCCAAATTAAAAGAAAAACAAACAACTACGCGTGAAATAGGACCAGTGAACAGATTCCGTGCTCAGTGTAGTTGAGGATCCGTGAATTCACCTCTGTATAAGAGCAGCAAATCCCAAAGAGAATCCAGAGTAATAGATCACACTTTAGGTACGATTGTACATAATAATGGAAATATATCAAAACACTAACCAAAGATGTTAATTGACGTCTCCACTCCCAAAAGATTGAAGACGAGCTGAGCGAATGCGGCCAGATTGACTGGAGAAAGAACTGAAATAATGCAAATAGAATCGCCAGTGAAATCTGCCACAATGCTCTTTCTAGGTGGAGAATGGCGTCGACTTTTACATCAACGTGTTCCACAATTTGGTTATGGCGTATGATTTGATATGATGACAGTGTGGTACCACACCCATCCTTAACCGAAATCAAATCGTAGAAGCTCCACCATCCTCACCAATGGAAGTTGACCGACCGCCTCCTGTACATTTCGTACCAAAATTCGATGAAAACAATATCACCTGTTGGCTGCGACGAAAAAGTACTTGCCTACCACCAACGACTATGCTCTTTGCCTTTGTTAATCGGCGTCACAAAATATGCTAAGCGTATTTCAACATTTTTACATTTCATATTAACCCAGAGCTGAACACAAAAAAGCTGCGTAACGTTTCCAAAGATATTGTGTTTGGAAGCATGTACGCCAATTCTGCGCGCACATCGCGGCGTATCTCAACACTCTTCTCACCGTCAACAGCCTCTTTGGCAGAAGCTATCCCATTACCTGCTCCGGTAGGAAAAGCCTTATCGAAGGACGCAAAAATTCATGTGAGGGTAACTTTTGTAAGCCTTCATGTGCAAAGATTTCATTGTCAGAAGGTTGCTAAAACACGTGTGGTGTGGCAGCTGTCGACTGAACACAAAAAGTATAGCAGAAAAACTTCGTGGAGCAAAACAAACAAATGGAAGTAGTGTGATGGAAGCTTATCTCATACTGGGCAATACATGCGTTGGAATCAAATCACACCGCAATGGAACTATTTGGGATGAATACGAAAACCTACCTGAAGCCTCCTTGATAATGATGCCCAGTGCAAGAGCGTTCAGAATTTCTGTGCTATCCGAAGAACGAACTGCTAAAGAAACGATGAATATATAGGATCTTTTCACTCGAACCTGAGAGGGAAGCTCACCTGCTTTAATCGCCTCCCCCCAGTTACATGTTGGCAGGGTAAAANAGTATGATCTGCTTTTCCAGAAGCAACGAATCCTGCGGCAGTCGTCCAAGCAGAGCAAGAAGGTGGAAGCACCGAAACATTACCCGAAAAAATCCAGTTACCAACCTCGTGCATGCTTAACAATCCTATTTAAGTATTGAGTGATTATGTCAACGTTTAAAGGAATTCGGTTTTTAAGTTATCATAATTTTTTGTTATTGTCAGATGGAATTATGTAGCACAAGAATAACAAGACGGCTTCAGCTGAATACTACTGGAAAATTATTACAATTAGCCAAATTAAAAGAAAAACAAACAACTACGCGTGAAATAGGACCAGTGAACAGATTCCGTGCTCAGTGTAGTTGAGGATCCGTGAATTCACCTCTGTATAAGAGCAGCAAATCCCAAAGAGAATCCAGAGTAATAGATCACACTTTAGGTACGATTGTACATAATAATGGAAATATATCAAAACACTAACCAAAGATGTTAATTGACGTCTCCACTCCCAAAAGATTGAAGACGAGCTGAGCGAATGCGGCCAGATTGACTGGAGAAAGAACTGAAATAATGCAAATAGAATCGCCAGTGAAATCTGCCACAATGCTCTTTCTAGGTGGAGAATGGCGTCGACTTTTACATCAACGTGTTCCACAATTTGGTTATGGCGTATAATTTGATATGATGACAGTGTGGTACCACACCCACCCTTAACCGAAATCAAATCGTAGAAGCTCCACCATCCTCACCAATGGAAGTTGACCGACCGCCTCCTGTACATTTCGTACCAAAATTCGATGAAAACAATATCACCTGTTGGCTGCGACGAAAAAGTACTTGCCTACCACCAACGACTATGCTCTCTGCCTTTGTTAATCGGCGTCACAAAATATGTTAAGCGTATTTCAACATTTTTACATTTCATATTAACCCAGAGCTGAACACAAAAAAGCTGCGTAACGTTTCCAAAGATGTTGTGTTTGGAAGCATGTACGCCAATTCTGCGCGCACATCACGGCGTATCTCAACACTCTTCTCACCGTCAACAGCCTCTTTGGCAGAAGCTATCCCATTACCTGCTCCGGTAGCAAAAGCCTTATCGAAGGACGCAAAAATTCATGTGAGGGTAACTTTTGTAAGCCTTCATGTGCAAAGATTTCATTGTCGGAAGGTTGCTAAAACACGTGTGGTGTGGCAGCTGTCGACTGAACACAAAAAGTATAGCAGAAAAACTTCGTGGAGCAAAACAAACAAATGGAAGTAGTGTGATGGAAGCTTATCTCATACTGGGCAATACATGCGTTGGAATCAAATCACACCGCAATGGAACTATTTGGGATGAATACGAAAACCTACCTGAAGCCTCCTTGATAATGATGCCCAGTGCAAGAGCGTTCAGAATTTCTGTGCTATCCGAAGAACGAACTGCTAAAGAAACGATGAATATATAGGATCTTTTCACTCGAACCTGAGAGGGAAGCTTACCTGCTTTAATCGCCTCCCCCCAGTTACATGTTGGCAGGGTAAAAATTTCTGCACTGCGGTTATTGTCAATTTTTATTGGTACAAATGAAGCCGTAGTATTTTCAGCAACTCTGCAAATCAATTTG